TGAAGACAGAGGGGCAGGGGGGGCAATCATAGACATGCTCCAGCCTGACCCAAATCGGCTTTCACACCAGGACCACAAGAATGGGGTAACCGCAGCACGTCTTAACACCATGCTCCTCTGGCCACTTTAAACGTACGCCATAAATGCCTGAAAACCAAAAATACACCCGAGAGGATCATTTAAATGCAGTCATTAAAGCGACACGATCACAAAAGGCAGAGTTTTCAAACAGACCAGGAGTTAAACACAAGCAGGAGATGGACCCAGCTATGGTGAGCCGGTCCAAGCCGTAATTCCACACAGCTCAGACCTGTTTGTGTACACTTTGCAGGTCGAGGAAAAGCCAGGGCAGACAAAGAGGAAAACAGCTTTAAATGTGTGTGAAGTTAACTGACAAACCGCTTGGGATGGGTCTATATCACGGGTGTCAAACTCCAGTCCTGGGGGGCCGGGGCCCTGCACATTTATGGGTTTCCTCTCATTTAACACACCTGATTCAACTACTTGTGCTAATTACCACACAGCTCTTGAGCTGAATCATTTGTGGTGGGAACAGGGAAAGAACTAAGCTACACAGGGCTCCGGCCCCCCAGGACTGGAGTTTGACACCCCTGGTCTAGATGCATTCATAAGAGACAATATTTAATAGGCGGCGAAACATTCTGGCAGAAAAAATGTCTGATTGTGTGGCAGGTGGTGCCCATACACACGGGCATAGGTTTAAAAGCACAGATTTGCAAACCTGTCCTAGTCTATGCAAGAGGTCAAGAGCTGCAGGTGTGTGTGTTTGTGTACGTGTGTGATGGAAAAGTCACCACGGCAATGACTGAAGCTTCTGAAGGTGCAAATGACCAGCACTGCACACCATCATCAGAATTATGACACAGGAAAAAAAAACAAAACGTAAAGGGGTGATGGTACCACTTCCTTTAGCGGGGCGGGGGGGGGGGGGAAGGGATGCCCCCGGGGCACCAGCTTTTGGGGCCCTGCATGGGCAGCACTTCAGCTGACAGCCCGAGTCACGGTAGAAAGGAAGCACTGGTTTGAACAGTTTTTCTTGCAGATATCAGTCGTGGTGGCAGCCCCCTATCTAATTAGCCACCATTCCCACCCCCCAACCCCATTACATTTGCACACTGTTAACGCCAGAGTAGGAAACAGTCTGTGAACAGGAACTTGGTCCGTTGCCAAAGCTGGGCATTTCGTGGCTAGGCGGGGGGTGGGAGCACATATCAATGGTCAGACCTACACAAGGACCCAAGCCACAGCCCTTCGTTCGATTTACAACCAGATCTGTACAAACTCCTGTGGGGGTGGGGGGGGAGTCTTCTCTGACTAGGCCTTCTGGGGAGACTCCACCAGGAGCAACTCTGGCACAGACACCCTCTGACAACAAGGCCCTCACAGATAATGGCAGCCATTAGAGCCCCTTTCAAAACACTGAATTCCCCTAATGCTAATAATGCAAATACCACTAAAGGGCACACAAGAGTCGTAGCGTAAGTGTTACTATTCCAGGACACTTGCAGGTCCCCCTGCAATGCAGAGGAAATGGAGATGCAATCAAAATGCAAAGGAGAACAAAAATAAACCCACTGAGAGCGAGGTCACCACCACAGGATGAAGATCATACAACTATTGTTTGAATACGGAGTAAAAAAAAAAACAACATTAAGAGACCGAGTACTAAATAAGGAATTTAAACTCAGCAGCCGGCAAAGAGATGTCCGGGTCTGACTGTAGTACCACTCACAGGCTTCATCTCAGGAGGATAAGAGAATGAACCGAAAGCCTTTGGTTGGAATGAATCATTAAATGTGTCTAAAGGCAGGTCACAAGGGGTCAATCAAAGCCCACAGAGCTCCGCTTTACAGAACTGGCTGTCAATCTTCAGTGTGTTTAGCCCAAACACATGCTCGTTTACCCGGAAATCTGTTTTTCAGAACCAGTGTGGCTAGTCAAAGAATAGCAAGGAATAGCAAACAACAGGGTGATCCAAAACAGAGGAGCACAGAGTATCCACCTGTAACGGGGGGGATACAACAGTGCAGCCGGCAGGTAGGGAAACACTACAGCTACTGACAAATGATATCATACAAAAACCACAGCATGGCAGCTTGGGGCTAGTGTGGAGGACAAAAGGAGACATTTCAGCATTTCAAACCCCTTCCCTGCATGGCCCAGGCTGATGAATTTCAGCCCCGTAAGCAGAAATATTGCACATCATTTTTTAATTTCATGAAAATGACACATTGGGCATGCATCTCAATCACTAGGTACAATTTTAAATTAAAATCCCCCTGACATGTTAAGTATGACAGATTTAAACAACAACTAGACCCCAAAATCACAGACAGGAAAAATGACAACGCAGCCAGAGAGCATGTGAAGAATAATCACCAGACAGGCGGCCAGCACAAGGTCGGTATTCAGCCACAGCAGAAGTTCTGACGACTGTTTACCTTACACTCTTCAACTGCCCTTATTTTCCAGAGGAAAGAGCGAGACTGATAAAATCAGCCCAGCAACAGACCCATTACAGTAATCGATGAAACAAAACGGGCATGAAGAACAGGCCTTTTACCTGAAGGCACGAGGGTCTCAGCATCGTTCTTGTTCACACTCCACAGAAAGACGCAGTGCTTTGAAAGAGGAGCCTGACTTTCCGAAAACACTCCTTTCCCCCCTCCCTGAGAACAAGTTGCACAACACTGGGCAGTCCAGCAGAATGCGCAGCTCCTGCCAGAGGGACATTGCGCAATACCTCATTCGCAAAGCATGCTGGGAGCACTCTCCGGAATGGCAAAACATCCAGGCACACAGTGTGCAGACATGACAGGATCTCTCTGCTCAAAAAAGGGACTTAACCTCACCAGCTGGAGGTGGACCTCTCAAACGTGAGATTTCTGCACACACTGATGACACAAACAGAGACTACTAGACAGCACTAGAATTTTATGGCACAAACACTACAGTGAAGGAAGAGAACCCTTACTGTCAACATGGAGAACTGTCACCATGAGGCGAATTAGAAAACTAGACTCTAAAACTAACTCTGAAATCCATCAGGCAGTAATAAAAACCGACAGACATACTCCTCACCTCTGGCACCGAGGATCAGGGCTAGATCCCAATTAGTGAGAGGCTTTGACCTCAGTGCTACGCGGAGACCAGAAGACCAGCAGAATGCTAGACACGACGGCAGGAACTTCTGCTGTCATTCCAGTGAAATCTCCTATGTAGGACGATGCCATTATGGTTTGTGCGCACATCCTGAGAAGACCAGGGTACAGTTTGACTCTACCTGGAAATGGCTGACATGCCTCTCATAATAATTGCTCAACCACAGGAGGAAACCATGCCTAATTAAAAAACGTAAAAATAAAACCATTCAGGTCGCTCCCAAAAATAAAACTTGTTAAATAAATCTCACAGGATTTCTTACACAAAACTGGATGGAGTCAGACTAGGGAGCTGTTTATAGCAATACACTATGTACGAGCAGCCATCCAATTTAAAGTTAGGAAACACGGTCGCTGGGGCAATAAACTATTTGATAGAAAGGTTATGCCCCTGTGCTCCAAACCCACATTCCAGAACGTTCCTCGGCCCTCTTAATGAAAGCAGCCTCAAACTTACTTTGCGAATCCTCCGCATTTTCCGAGCTCGGCTCCATAGCACCGGCTATGGGCTGTCAGTGCCAGCATACGCATCGATAAACCCCGGAGACAGTCAGGTTTGCACATTGACCTATGATGTGTCCCGTTGAGCAACAGAAACCGGCTACAGGGATTATATGACTAGGCAAAGGATAAACCCAGCAAACCCAGGTGCCGTATTACTTTAGCCAAGAAAAAGTTTGCAAAAGCATTACTAAAGAATCCCATTACCCATCAAAGTACCTTAACGTCGGTCTAAATGTATATAAAACTGATGGATTATTCATAATAGACATAGGTATTTCTTATTGCTGAAGCTACACCCCCTCTGTAAATGATTCACTCATCCATTGATGACACAGGCCTTAAGTGACATTATATTTAGACTGGTTTTATGTATAAGAATGACCTAAATATTGATAGTCCACTCACTGACTATTCAAAATGAAGTACTGAGAGAAACAGGCAGCGTTTATATAATGAACAGATTAGTTTAACCTATTCAGGTAAAATGGCATTACACGTTAAAATTAATTGTATCAAAAATGATAATTTTCTCCCCAAAACAGCATACCCGACTAAATAATACCATTCAATTTAGCCTGGAACTCTATTCAGCAGCAGTACCCTGAAAGTGTCACGCCTCTGAAAACACTGCTATGGGGGTTAGTATCAAGGACTATTTCACGTTATAGCAACAAACAAAAGGCGGACGCTGGTACCGGACAGCCGATTCAAGTCGACGTTTAGCGGTTTTTCCGGAAGGTCAGACAGGCGCACCAGTCGGGCTGGAGCCGGGCGAAGCACTCTTTCCAAACGCCGGTAAATGACACCGTGCCACGAGCATAGCGCGAGGTGGAGGCGGTGCAGGGCGCTCCGGGGCAGAACGTCAGCCGGCCGGACGAAGCCCGAACCGGTTATTTCTGTTTGTTAGACACTTCGCCTGATCAGTCACCCGATTCACAATCCGGGGAATACCCCTACTGATGCACGCAGACAGCTAGCTATCAGGGCGTAAGAACACAGAATTTTAAAGAAACGCGCACTATCGGATTAAGACACTACTGCAGACCATCGCCTTGTATTGACTGACAATAGTTACACACGTATATCCCCAGCATTACGAAGAACCTGGTGATATGAACACTGCCTTACCTTCTCTTTCCACTGTCACACTGCCGCCGCAGTCAGAAGCGCAGGAAGCCGTCGCGCGGTCAACCGCGATACGTCACGCGCTTTCTCAAACGTTGCGGCTTCTGATTGGTCTATACTAACGCTGGCCCTACGCAAAATCCGCGACGCGAAATTAATCTCGTGTGCAGCACATTTAAAAACTTAATTTACCCAAATGGCGTATTCACTTTGGGTTTTTAACCACTAGCGGGGTTCGTCAAATTGCAATTTTTATTAGATTAAGCATGTACCCCGGGCTGACATCATCAGTGTGCGACGACCGCATGACTGTAGGCATAAACGAAAGAAGTGTAGGTGGCTGGGGGCTGGCCGCTTTTTAGGGTTAGTTATAAGGTGTAAAAAGTTGCTGGATACGTCAACTTGATTGCATCAGACTGTCTGAAGTGTTTTTGAACAAAGTAAGCCACGTTAAACGTTGTTTCACATTTTCTAGCGTACATTTTTTTCGAGCCAGTTAACCAAATATACGAGTAGATTTCTAAGCTAACCTGCTAACTGAATATGGAAGGGCACGCATGCAGAAATCAATAATAGTGTTTAGTGACCTATCCGTTTGACCGCGGTTATCACAGGACAATATATATTAAAGCAGGAAGTATTTAATTTTTGGAAACATTTAAACAGGTGTTTGACAGCATCTATGAAATCTTTACTCCTACGGTAGACCCCATTTTTCACAAATGCAATTTTGTTAACCATAAAGATGCAATTAACTTTAAATCCTATGATGTCGCATGATGTGTATATAATGGGGCCGCTTGGCTAACAACTTTATTTTTTACAATTTTTGCAGAAATCTACAGTTGCGGTTTCTAAATGGATTCGTTATCCACTCAGATTGCTTTAGGCGTTGTAGCGGGGTTGGGTTGTGGTCTCTGCATCGGATGGCTCCTTCGAGGCCGCTTTGTCAGATCGTTAAAAGGCCCTGCTCCCTATGGAAGTGAAGACGAGGCGAGTGTGATGGGGGAGAGCGGAGAATTCAAGATGATCCTAGTGGTACGGAGCGACTTGAAGATGGGAAAAGGGAAGGTTGCAGCCCAGTGCTCCCACGCCGCAGTGTCTGCCTACAAACAAGTCCAACGGAGAAATCCTGACCTCCTGAAACAGTGGGAGTACTCTGGCCAGCCTAAGGTGGTGGTCAAGGCCCCAGATGAAGACACCTTACATGAACTCTTAATTCGGGCTAAAGAATTTGGACTGCCAGTGAGCTTAATTCAGGATGCTGGGAGAACTCAGATTGCTCCTGGCTCACGTACTGTTTTAGGTGTAGGTCCAGGACCTGCTGATCTAGTTGACATGGTCACCGGACACTTAAAACTTTATTGATGTTGAATGGTTAGAAAGGCTTGTACTCTTTACTAGAGCTATAAAACATAATTTAGGTCCTTTGTGAACTGTCTATTAAAGTATTGGTTGGACTACAGTTGTCTGTTTAAAAAGTGCAGTGAAATATTGATTTTACAAAGCTCTGTGCAAGATTAAACGCTGGACTCAATGAAGCAAAATCATTAAGCTTCATTTGTCCAAAGTCCCAAGAATTGTCACAATCTTTTGATTTATAGAAAAATATCAGTCTTATGTGATGAACTTTTTTAAAACCTAAATGCTGTAAATTTGTTTTTGTATGGACTGGACCCTTTCCACTTACGAGCATAAACTTCATGAAACATTTTGTCTGCATTTAGACAAAATTAACCAAAGAAATGGACAACAATTAAGGTTTTCAGGTAACTTTTAATCACAACTCTAAACAAGTTTAACCCGAAATATTTTTTCATGAAATTTTTGTAAAGATCTCTCTTCAGTTGTTATTCACGAACCACACATCTGAGACACAACTGGACAGTCACTAGTGGTAAAATCCCTCCCCCCAGCAATCTTAGCACTGATTTTCCCAGTTTTAACAATTTCAATATGCTCTCAGTGGAAGTGAGTTGTTTACAGTGCCATCTAGTGACCTACCTTATACTCAAACCAATGTTACAACTGGCCGTTGTGTGACATTCTGCAATAGGTAACGAGACAGTTCCGTAATTCAGACAATTGTACACGTACATAGTTGAGTATATTCGTTTCACCATATACAGCCACTCATTGAGCTGGTTATTGCATTTGTTAACATTTACAGTTACACTAAAGCATTTCCACATTTGAAATGCATGTTAAAACCTTTAATACAAATTATGTATAATTATGAGCCATACTCTGAATTAACAAAATACATGGCACATAAACAGGCATTACACAGAATTGTTCTTGACAAACAAGAAGCCTTTATTTTGAGGGAAATCATTTATGATGATCCAATATATATGTATAAATTAAGTGAAGATGAAATATTAAGGTAATTTTGAGGGAGGATGATTTATGATTTTAACACAGATTTAGACACCAAAACAGTCCTGTAATTTTATTGTCACGTTCATCAGTGGGCAAATTGCAAAAAAAACCTCAGGACAGCACGGCATTAGGTTTTAAATCCTCTCTTCTGTACACTTGGAACAGTGACCTAGTACACCACAATATCCAGCATACACAAACCTCAGCACAAGGGACGAGTTAATTAATACACACAGGTCAGAAGGGCTGGGGTCACCCCCCCCCTTCAAATGGAATGGTCCCACACAACACTGTCGATAGCACAACAGAAGGTCACCTGGTATACATGGAGTGAACGGGGGAAAAAAAAAAACTTCTACACAGTTAAACTGGGTAACCTGCATAGGCTGGGGAAAGATTAGAATTTACTTTTTAAACCACGTCTGTATGCATTTTTAATTTTTTACACAACTACACTTTTGTGTAGTAGAGACTTTTTTTTAGTGTTTCTAGCTGTTGTAGTTGTGTAAGCGGCAGATCAATGTTCAAATATGAATATTGAGCTTTTTTAATATACAATAATTAAATGCATCTTAGAACAAGCTGCTTACATCAACATGGAAATTCTACATTAGTTTCCTCTCACTACAGAGTGCAAATAAGATGCTTCAAAAGAGACCTTTTTAATTGTGGACGTTCTCTTCCAAATCTAAACATACATTGACAATTACCCTAGAAATAAAACATGGGGGGGAACAATCATTCTACTGAAAATGGAATGTGGAGTCAACAAACATTATGATCCAAAATTTAAGCAACAGAAGTAAAATGTCCTTCATGAAAAATTAAAAAGAAAATAGTAATAATAAAAAAAAATAACTGCTTATTCGAATCTCCTGCAGTGAGTAGATAATCATTACAAGCTGGTGGAGAACTGCTTGACAGATGGGATGGACAGGCCCCAGGCATAGCAAGGTGGGGGCCTCACATGCCGTAGCCAAAACCTGGCTGGGGTTGGGGGGGGGTGGCAGCATAGCCGGCCGGCGCCGTGTAGCCGTAGCCGTAAGCTTGTTGGGGGGGCACGGCGACGCTGGGGCCGGCGGTGAGCATCAGCTGAGGTGTGCCTGCAGGAAAGATGGACACCATTTTACATCACCGAAGCGGGAAAAAGCATTACGAGTAGCTGATATGAGGAGACGACACACACGGACACCAGCTTAGGAAATGCTACCTGCTCTGAATCGATGCTCCATCTGGACAGTGCAACTACGGCCCTCTGAATAGATCCCATAAAACATTTTTCTGTACAGACACTTCTACCTATATGCAGATGCGTCTGTTGGGCGTCTGCGATTCACAGCGAATCCCACACAGAGTGAACGGCCTGCGATCATGTGACCTGGAGGCACATGGTAGTGGTGCGAGGCCCACACAGAGTGAACGGCCTGCGATCATGTGACCTGGAGGCACATGGTAGTGGTGCGAGGCCCTACCGTAAACAATGGGCTGTGTCTCAGTGGCCTGCTCTTCCTCCTTCCTCAGTGACTCTGATGCGTCCAGCTTGTCCACCTGAAAGAGGCATGGCAGGGAAATGAGCCGAGGGGGAAACCCGTAAAGGTGAACAGAGCCACGCCCGCCAGCACGGCACCTCCGGCGAAAACGGTGGAAAAGCCTTTGACATTTGTTTAGTGTATCAATACTAACCTACGGACGACAGAGAAATGGGACCATTCTAAGCAGGGGGGAGAAGATCTGGTCAAACTCAAGGCACGGTGTGTCACAGGGTACAGGAGGCCAAACACACTCACATGGTGAGCTGAAGGCCAATTTAAAGTCAAAATATTTAATCCATAAACTGGTACCTGCAACGAATGGGCCCACCAGTCTGTCATCATCTCATTTAAAATCCTTCATTTTATGTTTTAATTAATAGGAACCGTATGCAGAGAACCAAACCCATTTACTGTGTGTGATTACCATAACTGGTCATTCTCAGTGTTGGGAGTGTGTATGTAGTACATATCCTTCACCACTAGAGGCAGTTATTACATAATAAGCATCTCCATAAATCACGTTTAACACCATTCAGCCAAGGGCCAAATAGCTGCCTTGATCTCCTGCTGGGATAATCTAAAATTCCCATCAGAACAGAAATTTTAGAAGCGCAGCATAAACTAGCAGGTTTGCCAAAGATGTTAGAAATATGATTTGCTTTGAGACTATCAGGTGCAGCAAAAAGGTGGCAAAAAGTACTAGGAAGAGAAGAGAAGCAGGCAGAGGAACAGGACACTTCCTTCATGGGGACACTGGTATCTTACAGTAGGGAGGTACAGCCTCGCCTACTTTGGTAACATACCCTACACCAATCCTGAAAATTGGGTTCAGTTCCATACATACTTTGTTAGGGAATTCAGTAAGTGTTGTTAAAAAGGCTCTTTCCAGGTATTTCAACAAGCTGCAGGACCATCACAAAGGAGGAAAACACATGCTAGTTATGTGACATCTGAGGTTAAATGTGTGCATGGGGAAAAAAAAAAAAAAGCACCGAAGCCAAAAGTGAGAGCAGATGATTTGTAAAGCCATTCAGGGCTTTCCAAGAAGTACGCGCAGCCAGAAGCAACGTCTCCTGCCCCTTAAGCAGTAACGCTCTAGCCAACAGAGGGCACGCATGCTCGCTCCAAAAGAGGCGTGTCACATATCGCACGCACATACGTACACACAGGCGCGCACACACACCCACGTGCTCATTCTCGGCCTGAAGCTCAGTGAACGACCTCAGCTTTGCCTCTGGGCTACAGGTTTATACTGGGCCTGAAAATCAACAACCTGGATTAAAAGTTCCCATGCAGTATTTCTGCTGCACTGAAAAACTCATGGATGAGTCTTAGAGTCTTAAATTAATTTCTGACACAACACTAAAATCACACAGATGTGTGGGTCCAAGCACTGTTATAACCAAGACTGGGACTCATTTGTTTCAACACGGTTTGACAAAAATTTAACAATACATGAAATAAAGGGTTACTGTAAGTAACAAAATATAACCTCCCTATATCACGCATTTCAAAAGCTGGATTATGACCATGAAGGTCATATCATCCTGCACTCTTTTGGTAACAATTAAAATGTCAGAATCTTTAAATGATCAATTTAAGAACCTCACGCTTCAGAAGAGAACGGTCACTTCATAAACCACATAAACAAAGTACATTGTTCGGCTAATAATTAATTTTTAAGGCATTCTACAACTGGTTTACAGTCCACTGAAGACCACTTTTGTCCAATAAGTGCCAAGACCTTCCCTCCACTTGAGTACAATGGGTGACTTCAGGTTTAAAAACTCTATATATGTAACCTCACACTCAAACATCTAGCTCAACGGTGTTGGTGGGGTGACACGGGACTGGCAACCAATGGCAGATTGCTGTTTAGTGGATTAATTCACATCACATGACTAGTTAATTAGTATCTACGAGTCTACAGGTTGAAGGTTCTAGAAGTCTGCCTACACTAGTCGGGTTTAGGTAAGACACTAGTGAATGTGTTGTTTCAAAAGCAGCAGTGTATTATGGAAAGAAAACAACTCATGCAGATTCCTGGGGTACCAGTCCTCCAGACAGTAAAAAATGGAAGAATCTACTTTCACCTTTTCCTTAATTGCATCAACCTGAAAAGGAATTCAGAGGCGCAGCTTAGAAAAACAACAAACTTAACTTTACATAATTAAGATAAACAAGTTGAGATAGGGCGAAACCACCGCCAAGGAGAGGGGAGAAAACAAGCAAGAGAGCAATTTCTAGGTCAGAGGTAAGGATAAGTCAACACATCCACCCTCATATAAATGCAGATGGTTTTGTCTGGCGGCTGTTACGTGCAAAGTGAGTATAACATTTAAAAACCTGGGTGATAATCCTGCCACGCCGTATTGTTTATTTTATATTCTAACACATTCCCAGGAAAACTGTTTCCTTCTTGCACATAACTCATAAGCATCTATCAGGCACAACTTGTGTACCACTTAAATGGTGCCATTGAAAAGGATGGTGTGTAGCATTCATAAATCATAAATCAGAGAAGCTTGATAAAATGCAACCTGCCTGATTATATTGATGGCTACAAATGAAATCAGTTAATCAGCTGCAACCAGGGTTACTGCCCTTTCTCCAGGCTGATAGTTAGGGTGTAACTACGCATATTCACCCTGGAGTTGGTGAGATGCCTAGAAGAGCTACAGGCAGGAGAAGCGGGCCATTTGTACTGGTATGGGAGTGATCATAGACAAGTGAAGCTTAAAGACACCGACCCTGAGTGTTCAGTATGTAAGGTGGAGAAAGACAGATCTACTGATGTATCACGCCAAGTCTCAAGAGCATCCCTGCAAGACATACCTGCGGCTACGTCCGTATAGCGGCGATAATTAATGGGGGGGGGGCGGCGGCATTAGGCATTGGTTAGTGTTGGGGAGTCATTAAAGGAAGTGCAGGTGCATGACTGAGGATCACGTGAACTAGCAGATTAAGAGGTTTCCACACATTGGTCTGCACTGCTGGGAGTAACAGCTTTTGGATCTAAGGTGCTACTGGACAAAACAGAAGGGAACTAGCGTTACAATTTGGTCAGAGATGCCAACGCATGTTTGCGCGAGAAGTCACGCCGGAAACTCCCCGACTCACCTTACTCAAGTACTCCCTCATGACCTGGATGAAGTACGGCATGGAGAACTCCATGATGTTGTGCCTCCAAGCAGTCTCCAGGACCACGTCGGGCCGCAGCAGGTCATAGCAGGTGAAGAGGCAGGCGGCGAAGCACTCCTTCTTATCCTCCTGAAGGAACCACTGGAGGAGCTCCTCCGCCAGCTCAATGTCCTTGGACTCGGAGGCGTACTGCATGGCATCCTGGTTTGCCAGTACAGGGGGCAATTCATAGCAGCTTTCAGTACAGTGCTAAACATCTTACACACATCACAGATTCTCTACAATCAATAGGAGCTCCATTCTTAATGAAGACCACCCCTCTTGTACAAATGGTGCACTCCCGCCTTGTGATGGAAGTACTAAAGATGGACTACAATAGAAGCAATGTAGGACTGCAAAAGCACATGAAGACGCTATGATTTTACAGATCAACAGAGGTAACAAGTTCTCCTTACAAGCACAGAACCTCAACACACCTTGTAGAGTTTGTCCTTCTTGCAGAGCTCCACGCTTTGTTTCCAACGGTTGTTGCCCTTAAAAAGGTATGCAGCAATTCTTCTGAATTCAATGAGCTCGTGTCTCTCAAGACGCTGGGCCAGTGAGATGTTATCAAAGTTATCATAGGCGTCTATGGACGTCCGCAGGGCCTGGGGATACGAAGAGCGAGAGTCAAGCCAGTGGTCTTGGTGCTGAGCTGCATTAGGTGGTTGGTCCAAATGTTCATTGGACTATTAGAGAACATTAACAGGGGTCAAAGCAAGTTGTGTATTTCACTGACCTGATAATCTTCCTCTGTGATGAAGAGATTGTTAAGTGCCTCATTGACTGACTTGTTGTTATGATTTTGTACAGACCGCAGATATGGTTTTACCAGTGGCAGCTGTTTAACCTGCAAGGGGAAAAAATTACCGTTAGGAACAGGAATAATGTGATAATTCAGTAAGGCTTATCATTCAATACCCTAAATGTTGATTGTAAATATTTTATTGGACTTCGTAAAACATTTGTAATGATAAAGAGGACAAAACAGAGCAGGAAGGATACATGTAAGACAGACTGCTACCTTGGAGAAGAAGTTGACTGCGCGGGAATGGTCAAGACGCGGGGACAGCACAATGAGCAGGTCATTCAGCAACAACGGCTTGAACTCCAAGTAGAACTGGATTGCTTTGTAATACAGCTCCACATTGGCCACCTTCAAATAAAAACAAAAGCTGTGTTCCAAAGCAGCTCAAGAAAAGGTTTGTTTGATCTTAAAAACCAGTAACATATTCAAAGCAGTAAGGTCCTGAAAAGCTAGTATTTCAGATTTAATTACGTGGCAGTCAAGCATACTGCCCAATCTTGCACCTTGGTGATGATGTCTTTGAACTGCCCTTCTTTCCAAGCATCTGTTGGGTGGTTCATCATGGTGATGATGGCGTTGTCATACTCCTCATACTTGTCGTACAGGAAGACCAGCTCTGCCCACAGGTGGGCCTGTTCTGCAGCCCTCAAAACCTATCATGCAAATTGACCATCAGTCAAGTGTCCAAGCAATCAGAAAGTCATTTCTGATTTCATTCATTCATAAGACATACGAGGCAGCCTATCACTAGTGGACACTACGGCTCTTAACCTCACCTTCGGGATGTTGACACGAGACCAGAAGAGCTCCAGGTGCTCCCTCATCTTCTGTGGTTTGAACTTGGAGTAGAGGATGGCCAGCTCTGTGAACATGCCCATGTGTGCCCTCTCCAGTCCCAGGGCTGCCTCCAGCATGGTGATCAGCTCCTCGAAGTAGCCACGGTCCTGTGGGGGAAGGGGGGCTTTTCTTTAGTGGACATCAATGTTTCTCACCCCGAATAACAAAGAATAATAATTCTTTAGCCTTATTCAGGTGGTTTTAGATGTTACCTGGTAGTAGTTAATCAGCTCCTCCAGCTCATCAGCATGAACTACAATGTGAAGGCCACACATCTGGGCCAGGCGGAACTCCTTCCCATCCACACAGGCGAAGCAGACCTGAACAGTAGCAAAAAGGGGTTAACTGGAGAAAACACCCTAAGCCTTACTTCAGCAACAGCTTCATTTCCAACACAGATATTTTCTGACTTGAAAAAAACTTCTTACCTCCTTCCAGGTGCGAGTGCTGTTGGCCTTACGAGCTCCATCCACTGCAGCCTGGTATTCCCCGAGGTGGACCAGGGTGGAAGCCAGCCGTCCAAAGTTGGAGACGTTGTTGTACAGCAACTTAGCGGCATCGTACATCTTCTCATCGTAGCATCGGTCGCCAACCTTTACAGAAAGCAAAAAAGAAAAAGAGGTTTACCTCACAAACATCCACAATACTGCCTTGTGTATATAACATGCTTCTTGATCATGTTTGTTGCGTTTTTGTAAACATGCGACACATACTTGCTGGATGTGAGCATTGTTGGGTCCATTGATGAACTCCTCAAGCTCGGCGAGGCGGTTGGTTTTAGCTAGAGCAAAAATCAGCTCCGTCTCCACGTAAGATTCACGCGCCTTCTTCCGGGCCATTTGTAAGAACTTCACGAGATCCTCCCAGTTGCCTACAAAATTAAAAAAAAAATGCTTAGAGTAGCTCTAAACATGATGTGGTTTAGCAAGGCTGCCAAGAGTCAGACTTTGCCTCTTACCACTTTGGTTGGCTGCCTGCACCACCTCCATGTATGCTGATGGATCGTCAGCTTTGATGTAGGAGTCGATGGCCTCCTTCACCAAACCCTTCTGCAGCTGGGCCTTAGCCAGCTGGCTCCACACAGCCGGCTCATTGCAGCGCTCCGCAAACTCATAAGCCCGGTCCAGGTTTCCAATGTGCTCAATCAGAACCTGAAACACAACAGGAAATCAGCAGCCTGTTTCGTTTTTTAAATATCACGGCGGCGGTGAAACGCAAATGGCTTTTTTTATACCTGCACAGCAGACGTGTTGACATCAAACTTCCTGAAAATGGCAAAGGCCTCTTCAAAGAGCTCATTGCTGATGGCAATATTAGCAATATCTGGAGCATCGTAATTGTCAAGGCGGTTGATGTACTCCATCACACGGGTTCGGTCGGCTTTGATGGCTGTGAGGATGAGGAGGTTCTGCAGATTCCTAATAAGGGAGACATATGGAAAGGAATTACTACCACGACACATGCATGGTGAAGAATACAAACACTAAAGCAGGGAGAACCTATTTACCTGTGTTCACTGAAGACTGAGTTGTCCAACACAATCTTCTCCAGAAGCTCAATCAGTTCATTTGGAAGGTCTGCTGTCATGAAGGCCTTGACTGTGACTGACACCTCCTCTGGATCCTGTGTTTCTGACAGAGCAGTCTGGACAACCTTGAGTAAAAGAAGAAAAAGTATAAGCAGCAGTTGCATCCAGGCAAGTTTATGCCCACACACCAGAATCCAGAAAAGCCCATCTTCAGAGCATCCCAGAAAGGACAATACATACCTGGTCGATAAGGGGTCTTCTGTATGGGTTGGTCTCCAGGAGCACACTAGCCCAGAGATCAGGGTCCCTGCGGCGCACCAGGTAGCGGGACAGACTCTTGAAGAGGGAGTTCTCATTGCAGACCTGCATCCATATAAAGCAACACGCATTACTTTCCAGGCTCTCTGACCTTGCCTAAAGGAGACCACTCCGCTGGAGGCACTCACGTTAATGAGCTCCTGGTCACACTGCCCTCGCTCGTAAGCCACGCAGGCCAGGTGGGGGTCCCTCTTCTCGCAGTACTTGCCCACCACGCGGCTGTCGTAGTAGGGGTTCTCCCGCAGGAAGCGCTCAGGGTTATTGTTGCTGTCGATGTAGATCTTGGCCAGGGCGTTGTGGGTAGCAGGCTCCTCACAGCCCTCGTGGATGCGCGACTCCAGCCAGGGAAGCAGCAGCTTCAGCCTGCGCGACATGGACAGTCAGCATTTGAGCGCACGGCTCATCTGGAGCAAAGGCTGCATCGGGAAGACATTCAGCTCCAAAATACTGACATGTATAAATGCTGCTGCTACTAGAATTCAGCTGTAAATAAATATTTGAAGTTGTATGTTCAGTTCAATTAATTTACACCCTCGCATTTTGGTTTTTACTTTTGTTTTGGAGATGCAATCATATACATGGGATCTAATTAAATCCAATAAAATGCAGAGCGGTAGGACCTGTTCCTCTTCTCGACCTCGGCCACCAGCTCGTCGGTGGAGAACTGGCCCCGGACCACCAAGATGAGGTTCTTGATGACGTCCTCAGAGGAGTCCACATCCAGGAGCCCACCGATCACCACTGGCAAACGGCTGGGGTTCACCTGTATGAAGATGGCATTTTGACATATGGCACATACAACGCCGGTCTGTACCGGTTGAAGGCAACTATGCTTGAAAATGAAATGAAAACCTGCACAAACGATCGTTTTGAAAAGCAATTAAAAATTGAGAAGACAGACTAGGACAAGAGCTGTCATTTTGGCAGTATATACAAACCTTCTGAACGTAGATTTCAATGTATTTCTGCAGGTTGTTGCGGTACAGGTACAGGACCAGGTCGTGGACAAAGTCAAAGCGGTCACACACAATGATGAGGGGGAGCTGATCAGTCAGTTTAGCCTCCTGTTCATGGGGGGGACAGGAAGTTGAACACATCAAAACCTAATTCATATAGGCAAACACAGCCCACTGAAATCACAGTCAAACCTGCCTGGCACTGAGTCATTTTTCTAGATACATGTCAGGAGGAAATGAGCATTAATCCTCCCGCTACAATGAAATAAAACTACTATAAGGAATGTCATTCAAGATGAAGCTGTGGGTTTCAATTTGACCCCAAATACTGTCAATAATCTACACTGCGGTCCACTACAGATTTGACTGCAAACTGTTGCTATAAGTCTGGATGAAAAATGAGTTTGGGGGGGGGGGAACACAAAATAAAACCAGGTGCCGTTTCGTAATCAAACCAATCCTGCCAGAGTGATCAGAGGTGGCAAAAATCAAGGGAAAGCAAAGATTCAAAATGAAAATACGTCGGGAATACAACGAATGGAAGGTGTTACGTTTCAAAGTTAAAGGATGGCTAAGGTGGCAGAGGTCGGTCTTCCGCAGAATCGAGTAAATAATGCAAACTGAGTAACAAAACCAGACCGAGAAGAGTCTAGCTAGCAGTGCGGCCTGTACACACACTTGCACACACGCGGGCTGTGACGTGCCCTCACTGCCACACACTCAACACCAACACTGGACCACAAACAGCCTTCACATTCCCTACTGACACTTCCAGCACCATCAAACTGCCACTGATATTCCTACAGGATTAATACTCTGGGATTGTGCAACTCTTAGGGCTGGGTCCCCAATGACTGAACTGGAAATCTGGACAAGGTCATTAACAGAAAACATGCAATCACTGTAGTGTTTTACTTTTCTTAAGTCAGTTGAGATTCAACATTGACTGATAGTCCAAATCAAACAAGGTTAAGTTTGTGACCAAGTTGTACTGCAGCGTAGCTGTGTGAAAATGAAGTACCCCCCTACTGGATCAACAGCTACAGAAGGAACCAAACCAGTGCAACCTGTACAAATAAGCTGTCCAGACACAAAAGTGGAGGGGATTCCTTCTGGAAATAGGACACTGTTGATGGTCACAGAGCCACAACCTTCTCTAGAACGTGTTTCAAAGATTCTCTTGCTGATAGCTATATAAAGGGTGCCTATGTGAGATTCTCTGAACTCAACATACACAACAAAGCTGTCTCGCTAATCACAATGTGGAACCATCACACCTGGGCTTTGGGGTGAGGCGCTACTGATAGACTGTTAATATAATCATCATACAAATCCCAGGTTTAATCCTGTATCAGAGAACGGGTGAAAATAAAGGGAGGAGGTCCTGTACTGGGAGATTTACCTGGTACATGTCCTGCCCATTCCAAAGACAAGGAAAAGCACAAAAGATAACAACTGCCATCAGGAAATGTTTTTGTACACTTCTTACCAATAGAGGCATTGGGGATGCTTTTAGGTTAGCATTAGCTTAGCTCAAAAAATAAAATTTCTCAAATGGGAATCACTGAATGATTAGGACTGACAGAAAGCCTTGAGATTATATATACCAAAAGCATTAGACAGAATTTTGACATACGGGTATGAATGAAATGAGGTCCTCTGGCACAAAAGAACAATTCACTCAGGCCATTGGAATTCCAGCTATTAACAAACATTCTGAACAGAGAAGACTGGTATTCAGCGACAAAGACTATCACATAGCAAAACACAGGGGCAGGACAATGGTGTGCATTTTTAGAGTACAGTTTGTATGGAGACTAAGGCTTTGAAAAGAAGTAGAATATGTGCATCTATGTATGCTGTAGATCTTGTCCTGCATGACTGTACAGGAAGATCATTCTCTCTTCTGGGTGTGCCGTACCTTCAGGAAATTCTTCACACGCTCCGGATCATAGCAGTTGCTCTCCCGACAGATCCTTTCCACCTCCTTGATCTGGCCAGTTTTGCAAGCCGCCTGGATGTACTTAAAATGAACTTCTGGATCCTGGCTAAAGTTCACAATGGAGCCCAGGAAGTAGAACAAACCTGCAAAACAGGTACGACTAAACGAAAATGATCAACAAAACCTAATCTCTTAGATGAACAGAGGAAAAAAGCAACACACAAGCCATGAAAACCAGGGAATTTCCACGTTACAATTGCGAGAATAATCTCTGATGACACGATGCTGAAACAGCATACCCTCAAAGCTCTTGAAGGACTCGAAGAGCTCGGTGAGAGCCTGTGTGCCCAGCTGCTCGTGGTATTTGGATGCCACCTGGACACAGATCTGCAGGTTCTGACGGATGTTGGCTGACAGCATGGCCCTCAGACACTCCATGGAGTCCTCCACAGACAGTGAGCCAAAGTAGTTTACCAGCCACTGCATGAAGAAGTCAGATGTGGTGTTAGAGTAAAGACTCGGGATGCCCTCTGACAGTGGACCCCCTTTCGTTATTTTGAGCCATTACCTCAGGGTTGAGCAGGTGGGTGTGGACCACGGCACGTTTGATATCATACAGGTCAGTATAGTGTTCCAGCGCCCTCTGCAGAAGGCCTGCCTTCTCACACAGCTGGGCAATGTGAGCGCGGTCGTAGTGGGTGAACATCTGGTTGCCCAGAATGGCATCAGCAACCTGTGCAAAACCAATGGAAACACTTTAGACCACCCAAAGAAAAGTCAACCACAGGGACATGCAAATACTTCAGCCCAGGAACAAATAGTTTTATAAAGGGATACAGGAACATGAAGTACTAGCTCTTTTGCTACACCAACCAAAACAGGAATCTGCTGGCACCTGTGGGGCATGCATGAGGTTCATCTCCAGCAGGCGGGTCTGCAATGGACCTTCTGAGGGACGGTTGTTCTTCAGTGCATCCAGCAAAAAGGACGTGCACTGCTGGATCAGGTTGTACTCCATGAACACGTCCACGATCTGGCCGCAGTGGAAAAAGAGGCTTGCGTGAACTCAAAGGCTGCACCAACAAAAGCTCTGAGGATGCGAAGCGGAACCAGAGGCCTCCCTGCAGCTAGGGGGCGCTGAGAGCAAAGTCTGACCTGCGTGATGTCAGCCAGCGGCTCCTCATCCTGCACCAGCATCTGGGAGAACTGAAGGCCCTGCTCAGGGCTGATGCGCATCACATTGCGGAGCAGGAAGATCCAATCGGGAGTGTATCCCACCTGCGGCAGACATATGGGAGCATGATTCACCCTTGAAGTGCCAGGGTATCTCTGGAAAGCTGTCCATCATGTGCCCTGTAGGGCCAAAGAGGACCTACAGGGCACATGATGGACAGAGGCATTGAGCTCTGGGGTCTCCAAGCTTGAATGAATGATTAATGTAGCTTTGACCATTTCTGCATAATAACGGTAATTGCTATGAGCAGATGCAATCCTCAAAGTCAGGACGAGGACGCAGTTCGCCCGTGTTATTTTAGTCACACCTGACTGAAGCATCTGCTAAATAAAATGCAAACAGGAACCAGTCTGAGAGCCATGGACATCTTCAAGGAGCCACATTAAAAATTTAAGCGTACCTTCTTGGCATAGAGCACGATTTTGGGGAACTGCCCAGTTTCTGCAAAGCACTGGATGACCTTGTTGGGGACGTTTGCCCGCAGGTAGACGCTGAGGGCAAGAGTGGGGTCCACAGACTTCACCAGATCTCCAAGTTCCTCCGAGCACTCAAGCTATAAGGATACGTTCAACAGTTACCCTCAGAAACAGTCAATAATCTACACTGCGGTATTTAACAGTTACCCTCAGTTGTAGCCTTTGAAAACTCTTTACAAGCCAATAATGTGCATGTGGAGAATGTTTGAGGATGGAAAAATCTATGAAACTCCCAGGAAGAGATGAGATTTCCATTCAGTCTTTGCTTCTCTCCTTCATTTTTTATTAAGCGCCAGAGGGCCAAGTAGGACTTTTCCTAGAAAATGTTCCCATAAAACCTTTGAATAACATCTCAAGCAATATAATTTAGACCCAGGAAAGCAGTGTTGCTGACCCCCGTTGAGAGGCATACCTTGTCCTCCTTCAGCCACTTCTCCAGCAGCTGCTTGCGGCCTTGCTGTAGGACGGGACGGCACAGCTCTAGGGATTCATATTTGTTGAGTTGGCCTTGATCCAGCAGGATGCCAAAGTACTGGAGCAGGGGGGAGGTCTGGCCGGGCTGGGCGGGGACACTCTGGAATCGCCGGATGGTGTCTGGTGTGCGCAGGATTCCCTGAGACAAACAAGGGCGGGTCACTCTTCCTCTGTGTTACGAAAGCCCAGATTTACTGCAAGCAGCTCTGGGAGATGAAGTAACGCCAGAGGAAGTTGACCGAACTGTCTGAGGACGCAAGAACCAGTCACAAGAAGAACCGTTAATGCAACCTATAAACACCATGTTCAATCGAGCAGATCTTTACCCCCCAAAGACATTTTATATATACAAAGACGGCCAGTCGCATATTGCATCCCACAAAACAGGAAACAGGAAAACAAGCAAACGATAATATTATTCGGGAAACGTCGTTTTACATAGACTCCTCCCACACATCCATCAGATGCACAGAGGGCCAAAGATAGGGCATGTGAAATGAGGGGGGGGGTACCTTTGGAGCATTGGCAGCCACTTTGGCCGCCTCAGAGTAGTTTCCTCCCGCGAAGAGGTTGTTGAACTTGCGGGCGAAGAGCTCCTCAGCGCCGGCCAGGTTGTTGCGGACGGCCATGCGCAGGGCCAGGTCGGGGTTCTGTAGCACGTTGGTGATGTAGGGAATGATGTTCTCCTCCTCGACACACACGGAGAGCACCTGCGAAGGCAGGGACCCGGGGGGGGCTGAAAAGGCGAGCTGAAGGTCACACGGCGCACAATTCTCTATCATCTAACTCAAGCGGCAAGCAGTGAGACACATCAACAGAAAGCGCAGCTGTGAGGGAATGGGAGTCTCCTACAGAGAGGGCGAAGCCTTCCCAGCATCCAGCTGGACAGTGGGGGAATAAAGGCAGCCTGCTTAAAGGCAACAAACTGCATCAACATGGCCGTGCTGTCATCCTCCCTGCTGCCATAAAAATGCAGGCCGTCGCTACTTTTACAGGAGAATCAGCTTTATTTTCTTCATAACCAAAATCCCAAATGAACCCTGCTACGACCAGCCAGGAGCCAGAGCGGTATCCATGACATTCACACGCCACAACGCACTTTCAAAAGACTCGAGAACGTCAAGGACAGGGGCCTGTGACCCTTCCCCCCACGTTTGTGACCAGATGAGGACAGGAAAAGCAGGGCTAGTGTGGCTGGGAGCTTTTGGGTATGAAGCAAACGCTCAAAGAGGACATTAAGGCCCCTTCGATAAGACCTGTGGGACCAGTGGTAAGTCAACAAGTGCTTCTCCATTTCAAACAGCCAGACAGGCTTTGCTCAGGCCAGGGCCACTGAAGAAAACCCAGCGGGTCAGCCAATCAGAAGGGGACCACGAAAAGGCTTCAGCTACTGAGGCGCAACATCTGAGAATAAAGGTCAAACTGATGGCATTCTGCCTCACAAAAAACTAACCAGAGAATTAGTTACTTGATCATCTATTTTGATGATATAGTCCCTAAATTAAAAAAAGAAACATCAGGCACTCAAGGAAAAAAGCCACTGGTCTGGTGATGGCAGATTTGGTCATACAGAGTGACCGTCGTAACCAAGCCCGGTAACGCATTCAGACACCATGGGCGAGCTGAGAGGTGAGCGAGGCAGCCACTGCAGCAAAGATTCCAGGGCTGCCGCCATCTCAAGGTCACTTAGCGGACGCCGGATGCCAAGAGCGAATGCAGCCTGCTAGAACCCTCCTCAGTTCCATGCGGCAAGATACAGGCATGAGCGAGCTGGACAACTGCTGAGTGAGAGCAGGTCTGACCCACGGGGGGCAGAAATTCCTTGGTTTGGTGCAAGATGCATGAGGGAGGCTGAAAACATGAATCAAGGCACAGATCACTGCGAGGCTTCATATAAAAACATGGAGGCATCCCAGTGACATCGTCAGGGGATCAGGGTCAGACTTTATCCCTCCCCCGTGAGATTGGTTTTCCGCTCCTCTCAATACTTAATGGCTACCTGGCTTTGGCATAAATTTATTTATAAGCTATTGCAAGCAGCCTGCGCAGACGAGGCAGCGGCCAATAGGAGGCCTCAGCCAGCTGCTGAGGGACCCGACACCTCTGCGTTGCCACATCACTTCCTCGTTGTTCCAGCAGAATCACAGAGAATCTCTTCATAGATGTGAAGCAACTGATTGTTTTTCCTTTAACTTTTTAAACCAGACATTAAAAACTTTTAATAAGACGTCTCTAAAATGTCAAATTAGTATTTCACCGAATGAACTCCTCCCCCAACCTCCCCCCCCCGGTAACCAGCTTGTGGCGCATTCCACCGTCAGGGTTGCCTCGACACCAGGCTCATGACTACACTGATCTGCTTCTGTGAAGCACAGCAGGCCCACACAGACGAGAGCAGGGCATCAATGATAACCGTGCCAAAGCCCCTCCCCCATCCCACCACAAGCCAAACCACACAGGCGAGCTGGTTTTAGGTCCCACCCGCCTCTTAAGTAATGGAAATTCATTTGGCTGATGGCTGACGGCAGTTCACAAGCGTGAAGATCCTGTCAGTACAGGTGACAGCCTTAGGCGCAGTAAAGTGCAGGCATTACATATGCATGTGCACATAACAGACTACCATCTAATGATTTTAAATTTGTATAAATTATTCAGTTATGTGTTCAAGGGTCATAAAATATTGATACAAGTACTTAAATAATTAATCATAATTGCACTTTACAGTGTGTAACTATTGTTTTCTAAGAGCAAAATAAAGAAGGCTGTGTCCCTTTTTTTTTTTTTTTTTTTTTTTTAAGTAAACGAACACAAAGTTTGTTGTAGCATCTTCACCGGGACGTTTTGGGGGGGGGGGGTGGCGGCATGTACCTGTCCCTTCCTGTTGACGCCAATGATGCCGGCGGTGGCCTCATGGGGAGCAGTAACGAAGATGGTCTCGCCGCTGATACGGTTCATGTAGATGCAGGTGCCCGTCTCCAGGTCGTACAGGTGGATGTAGCCGTACTTGGTGATGAGGAACACGACGTCTTGCTTGGAGCTGATCTGTATTGAGAGGCCCAAATGATTTTAACAACGGGCTGGGCTGGGTCACCAGAATGTTTCCGAGTTGCTATGGTGACCCGATATATCCAGATTTAACAGTAAAACAAAAAGCTGGAGGAAAATGTATACATATTATAGAGATTTTTTTTTTTAACTACAATTTTGGGGTGAGAGCACGGTCAACCAGGATATAAAGACTGAGACAGTAGGTGTTAAAGGCCTTGCTCAAGAACTAGAAGTTGATATGGTTACCCTGCCAACCAGAAGATTCAAACACACAACCTACCTGACAGGGGCACAAATCCCCAGCACGAGCTATGAGCTACTGCACAAACAGACTCCAGGTCAGCAGCCTGCCAACTCACCACACAGCCCAAAACCTGAAGCAGAGGAATTTCCCTGGGGTGGCTGTACCTGCATGGCGACGGGAAAGTCATTTTGGGCCTCGGGCGGGAAGAAGACGTCAACGGCTTTCTTAGGAAAGGGCTGGTTCCCGGTGGGCGGGGTCCCCACTTCGATTATGTGCAACTAAAGCGAGAGGATGTGAATCAGTGTGACCGCAGAGCGAACCAGCCACCCCCCCGTTCCGAAAGCAGAAGCGGCCACCAGCCCACCTTCCCTCCAGCCTGGCCACGGACGGCGAAACAGAAGAGGGTGGACTCCTCAGCGTTTCCTTCCATCTTGAACTGGGCAAAGCCTGCCGCGTGGCCCTCAATGGGCTGGGACACCTTACGGTCCACAGAGTAGAGCTGCATGGCGCCGACCACGCGGTTTTGCTGAAGAGAAAGATGGCAGCGTTTGAAGGCATGTAACTCAAACCTGGTAGTGAACAGCTGAAGTGTTAACTTCATGCCAGGTAGACAGAGCCACCAGGAAACACGGAATTAACAGAAATTCTGTACAAAGAAACATACAAACACCTTTTAATCATTATGTATCAAAACGTGCACAAAGATTAATCTCCAGCCCAGATACCTGTGCAGAAATGCCAATGAGGAGCAACCATTTCTGCTTGGCGTCAGTGCGGTAGTTGATGATCTGACAGCCAGCCAGACTGGAGTGACGGTCAAACACTTTGATGGGCTGGGAGTCTCCCTCCATGCTCCAGTGGTACACAGCGTTATCTGTCACCAGCGCCACCGTGTTCAGCGAGATCCACTTCCAGAAGGTGACGTCATCCGTCATGGTGTGGGCTTTCATCTTGCTCTTCATCTCGATGTTGAAGATCTGCAGGGTTTTCGCCGCTGGAACCAACAGGCGAGCGTCGTTATGGCGATACGGGGAATGATGGAACACAGCCAAACAGGCAGAATCAAGGCAGAGATATCAGGAGTCATGGGTTTAAGTGCATCAGGCAGCACGCCATGACTGATTACACAGTAGCTATACAAAAGAAAGGGTGAGCACAGGAAACAGGAACGATCACTAAACTGAAACATCTGCATTCAGGTAGATATGAAGGGGTCAAAGGGCCAGGAAATCTAATAAGGACACAGAGAGGGAATCTCGACTATGTCGACACTAACAGTGACATCAAATTTTTGGGAATATGAAACAACACACTAATACCTGCAACAGGTCTGTTAGTCACCCCTGTGGGTCAGGGCATCAATTTTTTGGCTGTAGGAGTAAATTCTACCTTCATCCATGGTTTTAGAAGTGAAATTTATTTGGCATTAGAGTTAGTGAGACTTCTATAGGCGAATGTCAATACTATATCTTGATAAATCCATCTTTTGCCAGCAACCACCCTGACAAAGATCTGCGTTAAAAATGTAAGATTTCGGATTACGCACAGGGAATGCTCAGCATGCAAACAGCTCTGATCGCAGAGCTATGATAGCGGCACCTTCATGTGGTGGCGGAATCATCGTGTACATTTAGCGCAGTGGACTGACCAAAACCGGTATTCAAACCAGCCTTTCATGTCATGGAATATATGTATGTGCTTAAGGAGTCACACCGATTGAAAATGGACTGTTGGGGAAGGGGAAGGGGGGGTGGGACACTGGCATCTGAATGCAGATATAGGGAAAAAAAGAAAAAAAGGTACTGACACATGACCGTCACAGGGATGGAAACTGGAAATCGTAAGGGCCACTCCATTCTTAAATGACGTTAATTCAAGCACTGATGACAGATCGTCAAATCATATAGCAGGAGGCAAGCAGCACACACCAATCACAGTCTGCCAGATTTAGCCAATCGAGCCAAAAGAATTACACATCCAAAATAGAAATTCCAACAAAGTGAAGTTTGATCATAGATATGCAGGGCAATAATAGAATAACCCAGCTTCTGTCGTGCATGGATAATGAATGTAAGACACCCACCTGCAAAAACTGCCCCCATCTATTCGCCTATGCATGATCAAGCACACCCAATGGATGATTAAGACAACACCACTCAATACACACATTCCTAAAATCTGGGTATCCGAAAAGCCGCTATCCTCAGCAGCATGCTTCAGACAAAACCACCCCCCACCTTACACAGACCATAATGGCTCATAAGAATCGAGTGTCCAAATGACAAGTGACAAATCTCTGCTGACAACATTCAATCATCAAATCGTGTGTTATGCCAGCGGTCACGCTAGAGAAAAAGTTCAAACCTATTCAGTCTCCACATGGGCCATGCGGGTTTTCAAAGGAACAGGTTTGAATTTGGTTTGCATTAACTCCGAATTTACAACAAAAAGTGGATTGCTTAATTTAGTGGGTCTGACTTCATTTAGGAAATAATTTTGTGTGCATTTTGAACATCAGGAAACTTTCTCCCTGCACTGGAGAAGCCATGATGGAAAAATCAACAGATGGGATGAATGGGGAGCCAGTGCCACCTCCAGCCGCAGGAAAGGCAAGCGGCAGTGGGTACAAAGTTCTAGAAAAAGCTTCCGCACTCTGCAATGGCCTCAAATTGCACGGGGGGGGGGGGGGGGGGGGGCGACACCCCAGAAGGCCTATAAAGGGACAGCCCCGATATTTATAGATGGAGCTGCCACCATTACTGGGGCCATAAATCAGCCACTTCTAAAGCTGACCCAGAGTCACAGCAGCATATCCTTGGGTAGTGCTGGACAGTACGCTCACTACGCTGCTAAAGTCCATAAGGAAAATGGATCACCGGTGTCAGTGAACCACTTTCCAAGCCTGAGCAGTGTGCATCAAGCTCAAACTATTAACGCAAGTGGGGAGACGGGTGGCTCGGCGGGTTAGGACACTGCGCCTGTGATAGGGAGATCGCCAGGGTTGGTGGAGCGATTTTACCATTGGGCTCTTGAACAAGGCCCTTAATGCCCAATAGCTCCAGGGATTCTCTGACCTTGCTTTCTCAAAAAGAATAGAAGTGCCTGCTGAATAGTTCAAATGTATAAGCGCAGAGAATGAGATTGGTGCCCAAGAAGACTCAGTTTCCCTCCCTCACTTAATCACGAGCTACACTTCTCAACCTAAAGCCAGTAAGTCAAAGAGGCTAGTAACACTTTTACTGACAATACACCCTTGTGAATGTAAATAAATGTTCAATTTATAAATAAATCCTAAATACTTGATCAGACCCTTTAATATACCCTGACACGGGCTGAGAATTCCTATCAGTTATACTAAAAACTGGCTACTTCAAACAGAGAAAGATTCTGAAAATACAAACCACCACAAAAAAATATATCATCTCAACAGATCAAAAGAAACAAAGCTGTTTAATGCGAACTCATTAGAGAATATCTAATTAGTGCACATTAAACATGAATCAAAAGGTTGGTTTTAAACAGGATTGTGACTTCCACAAAAACATACAAATTTTAACTCACCATCTGCATACACATAAGAAAGCCATAAAGAAAAAAATGAACAAACAAAAAGAGAAATTATGACAGCAGGAACAAATTACAACACCTTTTACTGCTAATATTTCAAAAAGGCAGGCACAGAATAATGTAAAACAAAAAGCAACATTTCTACATGTGAGCTCAGAAGATTCTAGTCGTCACAATCTAGCAATGTGATGCTCTTCTGACTTACACAGTGGAAGATGTTAGGCCGGGTTGTGTTTTACAAACAAAACCTAAGAAAAATTAAGAAGTGTACAGCACAATCTAAAAAATGGCTCACAGAAGCAGACTCCTACAGTGTTATCTGTGACAATAATGAAACAGTGCTGCACTGAAGCTCAGGGGATACCGACAGGCATGGCCACCGACCTTTTAGAGCGATGACCTTGCTGGCGGGATTCATGATGGCGCTGTCCGCAGAGATGGGCCGACGGATGGGATTGTTCACATCGTTCAAGTCAATGATCACCACCTGCGCCTGTTCACCAACCTTCTCCCGGACGCAGATGAACTTGTCGGACTCCATGGTCAGGGTGCTGAAGCCAATGTTGGCTGGATTTATCCCCAAGTTTTGGAGCTATGGGAAAAAAACACAAAGTTGATTGACACTTTAAGGACACGCGGCTTCCAAACAATGCAGGAGGGACACCGCTGGAGGGGGACGCCGAGTTTTTATAAATGCGAAAACTCAGGCCAGGTATAAGTGTCATAATGCCCATTTTCTCAGTGTTTCTCATCCCAGTCCTCAGGGATCCCCAGAAAGTCCACATTTTTGCTCCCTCCCAGCTCCCAGCCCCCAGCCCATCTGAGCCAACCAATCAAGAACACCAAATACCTGGTACAAGTGTGCAGTGAGAAGGGATGAGGCAAAATATGCACTGTCTGGGTGTCCCCAAGGACTGGGTTGAGAAACACTGCTCTAGGGGATGTCCAGTACATCATGGGGCCAAGCCTGACGCCTTTTACAATGACCCATTTATCCCAAAAGGCCACCCAGCCCACTAGGGTGGAGTTTCCTAATCTGTCTCCCATCAAAACTCAAGCCCAAAAGGAGTGAGATGGGTGTCACTTCAGCCAATTTCTAAAAGAGTCACTTCCTGGCAAGGTAAGACATTTCATCTACCTCAATTTGCAACACACTGTAAATCACAGGTGACATACTTCCATTTCCTCATTCAGTCCCGGTTTGTGAGAAGGCAGCATGGAGGAGGAGGGGGGGGGTAAAATTGCTTAGCAAAGCGTGCTACACGATGCAGCAAAAAACAGGAAGTGTGAACTCCTGTAATGACAGGAGGTTTTCATTCAAAACAAAACCAGTTCCTGGAAAAGCTTACAACAGAGGCAGGTGAGGGGATCTGGTAACCTGGGTTTGCGGTGGGCACGAGTGATAGGGCCAGAAAAAGGGCTCTGATCTCACAGACGGGGTCAAAGCCAGCCCACTTTTACAAAGCATACCAACCATAGTTCAGGAAAGGACACAGCATGGATCTGACGCTTCCCCTTCGATATCCAAGCATTATTGTTAGACTACAAGGTAATGGAAAGCTGAAATAATGCCATACTGCTACAGTAGTGTATTCACTATCCATTTAGCAAGGCACGGGAGCCATTTATTCTACACGATTACAGCTCAAGGAGCCCAACAGAATGCTTACATCTCTCTCTTCTGAGTTCTTTTATACTGGATATCCAAGGATATGCGGCGAAATAAATTCTACCATGACATCACTTCAACACCCACAATTCCAGAATTACTGAGCTGGTGCATTCCAGTCACACAGTGGGAGTCTTTCTGGGCTCAGCATGTCTCCGCTAGCTAAAAACAGGCCTCACCCAATGCTCTAATCAGCCAATGCAAGCCATGTTTCCAGGAAGGACTTAACAGAAGCGCAAACCCCTACCAGCAATCAATGGGGTGCACAGACACTCCCAGGCCCAACCCTGATTCACCCGAGTCCCTGCAAATGCTTTTATCATCATTCTATCTTCAGACTCTGCACCCCACAGATAAAACGGGCAGCCACACTGCAGTTCTGAGCAAGTGCAGAGGGATGTGCTCATCAGCATTTTGATGAGTCACTAGAAAAAGGTAAAGGAAGAGCAAACAATGTCTGGCAGGCTTCATGGATTAACCCTATTTTAATCCAAAACATATTCACAACAATACAAAAACTATTTTCTCAAAGCCATCACCAACATGTTTTATGTGCATCTCACTTTCAATGAGACTGAGAGAAAGGAAGTCAATTGTTGTAAAGGCCATTTTGGAATTTCATCAACTGAGCTGTACCTAAACGATAATCTCAGTTCAAACTGAAAACCGAGCAGCCGTCTAACAGAGCCGTGATGATGTCACATGCAGGGTCACAGCAGTTTCAGCTTCTTCCACTGGCCAGAGGGACTCCCTTACCTGGCTGCCATTTGCCGTGGGGAATTCTTCAATGAATTAAGGTAATATTCACAACAGAGGGTAAGGTGGTGCGACAACGTCAATACTACTGGCTGAGGGGCAGGTATGATTCACATGTCAGGACCAGCTGCGTTCTTGGAGGGGGGGGGGGATTTCAGTGCCAGTAACCTTGGTCTTGTTCCTCCTTGTGGTGTTGATTAGTTTTGCCAAACAAAGCAATGATTGAATATTACAGCCCCTAATGACAGAGGAAGATGCTTCACAATTACAATATCTACGGTCTCAGAGGAGCCTGCTGGATTTCTACTGTCACCTTGTGTGGCCAGTTATTTTGAGGGGAGCAGCACAGGGTTCTGTAAGCTATATTGTTCAAATGGATGTCCCATTTCATTGGTTACACTACAGGTGCTCAAACATCTAATGCATTTTCTACCAAAATGTCTCAATCCATATGGAGGAAATCTTTTTACCATCATTAAACTATTCAGACAGAAATAAAGGCTTGAGAATGGTTCTTGATTTATTGGTTCCTAAGATGCAAGGTCTCAAAACAGGGAAAGGAAGGTGAAATATTCATGAAACAAATACCATTTTAAATGCTTTATATTCTTAGGTTAAATTGGGTTTGAATCCATCCAATTCTGCATCTGGCTGCATTAGTAATTTCATAACAGTCTACACCAAAGATTCAACATTACTTGCTGCTTTCGAAAGACATGTAAAGCATTTCCAGTTTGAGGGAAAAACGTAATAAAAACATGAAACCAACAGCAAGTGACACTTCAGCCAGATCCAAGCTGTCATCAGTTTAGTCTTAGGCCAGATCCTTCTGCAGAACCAGCACAAAAAGCCAAGGCTGCTGCTGACACATAGGCAAACCGTCATGTGACTAATGGAGGATCCTTTAGCAAAATCGTGAAGGGCATTATCAGAGCAGAGTAACACCACAACCAGGCAGTGAGAGCTGGCCAGTGGGTTCAGAGGGGATGAGAAAGAAGAAGAAAAGAAAAAAAAATAGACCCTTGGGCCACCTTCCTGAGCAAAGGTCACAGCGCTCAGATGATAGCACGGTGCCACCTCATCTGGGCCGAGATCAAGCTCCTGACCAAGGCCGTGCTGCGAAGACACTTTTCAAAGGAAATCAATTCACCAAGAAGAAAACTAAGCCTGCATACAGTTAGCTTATAGAAAATGCTTCATTTTCTCTTAGAAACTCCACTATCGGCAGTTATGGGCCTGTTTCATATGGGAAATACACAGTTTGTAAGAAAAACCCAAAGCAAACATGAAAATGGGGGCAAGATCATGCAGATGATAGTGTACGAACACCTGCCGACTGCCTAAGGCTCTCACATGGAGTGCCCAGTTCGGAAGGGCCAACCCCCCCCCCAAACGGAGGAGCTGTTCAGCAGCAGAGTGACTGCTTATGCTGAAGTACACACAGCACAGCAGAGAGGGGTACGGGGTCCCGGGGTTCACTCCGTTCCTCTCGATCTGTCAGCAAAAGAAAATAAAAATAAAAAGAATGATGCATGCAGCTGGGTTCAAAGTGCAAGGAAGGATGTAAAAATTGCTGAGAACGCAGCGGCTCCCAACAGGAAGCCGGCCATTGTCTCGGTGGTTTAAAACAACACTCGTGCGCAAGCTCGCGGAGACCACATGACTGCATGTGACCAGCAGCTGCTGAAAAGGTGATGGAGAGATGGCTCCTAAACAAAGGAAGCAGGTTGCTGGAGTTGGCGTCCCCATAAAACGTCTTCCAAGAATTTCTCCGTTGCGACCTGTGTGGCAGTTATTGTACATATGGGAGCAGAACGCAGCAAATTTAATCCCTGTAACCAAAGACACAGGAATCTGGTTGCCAGTTCAGGGTTCAAGGCCCAGACAGCTTTCCAGTGAAGCATTAACATGAGATCACCATTAACTCCTTCAACAGCTACCATACACTTGGCTGGTTTTTAATTATCACCATTACTGCTGAGAGGGCTGTTAAAACACACCTCATAAAAGTCTAACCATCACACTAAAACAGAGCCCTCATGTGCACAAATGACATTTACCGAAAAACACCAAAACAAAACCAGGACACATCCTCCATAAAAACAGAAAGCCTATTCAGCCATTCAGACTGACATTTCAATACACTACACCATTGACGCCCTATTTAAATTTCTTTATGCATATAAGGTTTCTATTTTAGGCAGCCAGACTGGGTGACCCATTATGCCAGTAAAAATCTGAAAACGTTGCACCACGCATAAACAAAGCAAATACCTTATGTAAGCTAAAACGTCCATCCGCTACCATTCGGCATAGGATTTGACCTCACACAGCGGAATGGGAAGGGGGGTGCTAGTACATTATGACAGATACCATCGTAACCGGGAGGAAGGGCAATCCCAAGGCACTGGAGCGCCACTACAACTATGTTACTTGGACACAGACCCATTTCCACATAAAAAGCTAACCAAGCCCGAGTTCTTAACTGGGGTCAGTGGGCTCGATAAACTTGATTAGCAGCAGAGCCTCAGAAGCAGAAAATTCACGTACCAGCCCCATGGAAAGAGCTGTGCATGGTTACCGTGTAGTGTGGGCCACGTGACGTGCACAGCCTGACGCCCTACCACCTATTCACGTGTTCTTCATCCAACAGCAGCACACCACTGAGAAACTAATTGCAGGAAGTCAATGAAATGACAATTCTACAGGACAGCAGGACGACTGCACAGCGTGTGACCCATGATGCCAAACCCGGCATCAGTGCTGAACCAACGATGATGATCACTGTGGCAGTTTTCAGAGAAATATTTAAAAGGAAAATAACAGATGAGCCAAATAAAATGGTACTACCCTCATCTGAGTTCAAAGGTCAAGCGAAGCAATGTTTAAAATGCACTGGTTTATGTTTGAATAAATCCTGCCTGTGGTGTAACAGAAGGTAGGCTACAGCACACGTGAAGCGATACTGCAAGTCTCCCCTGGGGTATCCGTTGCTCACGATGACCTTCGCATGCCAAGGACACTTGGCAGGAAACACATTTGCTTTCCTATAAACAAAAAAAACATTCTATTTCTTTGCACAACACACTTGTTCAACCAAGTAATGAAAAAGTATTACACTAATAACTGAAAATACAGCAAACAAGGGCAGGATAGTGTTGTTAAAATCATCAGACCAAACCTAACACTCCTCTGCGAAGTAAAAGAGTACATGCCAGGAATGAGAGAGCAGCCCACGACTGAGGAGTGGTTTAGATGCGCCGTCCATAGCCGCCCCTATCAAAATTATAGGTCGGGGGCCCAGGATGCCATTACTACTGCAGCAGAACATGACCCACATCTGCAATTAAACACCAGTAAGGATCACCGGACTCCAACACACTGCGTTTTACACAGGCCACTTGGTCCATCAAAACTCTCTTTCTGATGGCACAGAGACACGGCAAAAACCTATCAATCTACCAATGAAATATGGAATTCACATGCACAGCAGCAAAAGTTGAAGATTAATTATGATATATGAGGTGTTAGCCACCAGCCTTACTGTCCTTGAAAACAGATCAGTTTCTTTTGACAGCCAGTTTTCAAGGTCAACAAGAATATCAGCAATAATGATTACTATTGAACATGAGCGCAGAAGTGAAACCGATGAACTCATTCCCCTTGGAGGGTGAGACATCCCCTTTAAGAAAAGGGGGGAAAAAACACTGTTTTTAATGAGGCCTCATTTTAATGGCCATGCCCTTTAAATATACTGAAAGGTCTAGCAATACTACTACATTCATAAAATGTCACACACAGGTGAGAACATAGAAAGACCTTACGTTCAGCTTACATTCAGCTTTAGTCTACAGGAACACAATTAAATTATTAAAACCTTCCTGCATTGTATATATACCGCAGCCATAAAGAGAACCACTGTACCCAAACAGAATCCCTCCTCTGATTAAATATTGCTCTACCTTTCTATGCCACCATAAATCACTGAAAATGAAGACCCACACCTAGCATACTTCCTCAAAAGAAGCCAGACAGGTATTTTAGCACAAGGCAATTAGCAGCTATTGCTAATCATACAACTTACATTCAGTTCTCCTTCTTGCTGAAATCTCTGCATTTTATTGTATCATGTTTATACACATTGTTGGTGCCCATATCTATATAAGCTTTGTACATTTCACTTAATACCATGCGACAATCCCTGGTGACAGACTACTCAGCTTTATTTCAAGAGCACAGAAATATTCCATAAACCATCAATAACCCATCTCAGGTATCGAGGCCTGCCAGCTTCTGACAAACTTTTACTGTAATGAACACTGGTTGAAAACACAGAACCAGTGCAGCACTTAGGCATGATAACGTCACATTTTGTGTTCAGTGAAGAGGTCAAAACAACAGCCTGGTAATAGGGAAAGTGACCGAGTAACAGAAGAACTGAACTGGAACATAGTCTGTATTCAAATGAAGAATTTGTGTGTAATATAGATAGCCTGTATTCAAATGCAGAGAAATACAACTTCCATTTAATTCACTGAAATAATGAATATTAATTCTGAATATTAATTCACTGGAACCCCATATCACTCATTTATCTGGAAAGGCCTCAAACTCAAAGCAGACATGCATACACTTCACAGGAGGCTAAATCTTACTGCTAATCCCATAATTTGATTATTCTTTCCCTCCTGTTCACTGAAACATAAACCATATGTAACTGGCAGTTTTGACACCATCCAGGCAAGTTGAGCAATATGGACACTTCTTCCTTCTTTGAAGTGCAGCGCAATAAGTGTTATGACGTCATGAGGTGCGGCTTTGGGCTCTGTACCTGAAGGAGTAGACACTTTCCTCACACACTCCCTATGTCTGTCGACAGTGTTACTCTGTAGTTCATTTCCAAGGTAAAACCTGAAACCTAGCGATTACACGTTTAAATACAAAAACCGCTTCCTAGAGCACAATCCTCTTTTGCGAAGAGGTCATTTCAACCAAAAAGTAGATTTAATTAGTTATCGTTTCTATTGAGGTTACATGGCGTATGTAAAGTACCTGAGAGCAGTGAAACTAGGTAAATACTAGCATTTTAAAGTGACCACGTGACACCATGTTAAACTAAGGACTATTAAAGCAAATTTCTGCTAAACGTTTCTCATTCTATAGCCTGAAACAGTAATTAGTACTTTGCAAATGTTGGAATATTGTCCATGAAGGCACAATTTAAATCGAGCTTCCTTTTCCAGCCATTTGCATGAATTAAGGGGAGGCGCAAAGACTCGTTTTCAGCGCGACAGGCGGCCAGGTGGTTTCACGTCCGCTTACTCCATTCACTCAAACGCTAGTTAATCACAAACCTAACAAAGGTCAACTCATTTCATTGCCTGATTCTACCGTTGTTTGCTGTGCTGTTGTGCATTTAATAAATAAACTTTAATTCTTCTATCCGAGCTGATTTCGACTGCACCTGCCAAATGCCATCGGCCAGTTTAAGACCATCCGCGCTGTGTCGAGGGCCTCGGCAGGCGGTCGCCAATCTCCTCGGGTGGGTCAGCCCCCGTCTTTACTGGCGTGACAGTGACAAGCACAGGACCGATCCCTCTGTCCATCAAATCACGTTAATCCGTCCATCGCCGCGACGTTTACACAACTAATCCACGACTCGGCAGGATAGAAACACGGCCCTGCCGCCAGTGACATCTAACCAACATCTCAGTTTGGCTCGAACCGCAGGTACAAACAACTAGAAACCCTAGAAGACAAGTTAGTTTATTGTGCGAGCCCTGGGGGTCACGTAACCAACTAGCTGGGTATGTGTAACGCGCAGATCTTAAACCGGTTGGATGAACGGAGCCAGCTAGCAGACGAGCTTCTCGTATTTTCATCATGCCGTGACTTCCTGGCTTAGCTTTCGACTTTGTATCCCCATTCATACTGCGTACCTGCAGGTGCTCCTGGAAGCGGATGGGCAGGATCTGAGCCATGGCGGTCACTCTTCTCTCACTCCCGAAATGCCTATCTCTGAGCTAGCTTAGCCAACTAACGCTACAGCTTCTTCACTTGAGACTGGGATAGCTAGTAAAAAAAACAGAACGCTTAAAAGACGTATACGACTACACTACTTTCTAAATCAAATAACAATATGCCTACTACAACGTTCACCCCCGAGATGTCCACTTGTGCTCTGCCCCAAGAAGACGGCGACCGGCCGCAGCGCCGAACTCCAGAAACCCGCAATGGCGGCGGAAACAGGTCAGGAGAGAAGCAATCCGGAAACGGCCAGGGCCTCCGTTAGGCGGAAGGATACTGAACGTCAAACGAAAATCGTGCCTCATGCAAATTTTATCAGTAAGCGCATATTGTGTTCAAATGTGACTCTATAGCAAACAAGTGAAGAAATGACAGAATATATGGAAGCGTATTATAATAATACTTTGCAAATAAAGATGTAAAACAGAAGCGTTTAGGAACTATTTTATTTGTGATTTGTCCTTTGATTTTTGCCACGTCATTCGTCCTCGTGAATTGACGTCAGTTCCGGATTGTACAATTCGCTCCTCTGTTGGGGTGTTGTCGGTGAAGAAGCAAGGATGGGCAGCACTGTGATACTACAGTAACTACACATTACGTTTATTTATTTTGCAGAGTCTTTTGTCCAAAGGACGTACAAGCGAAGTAGACGGTATATTACAGTCATTTTAATTAAATACCTATACAAGTATTTTATTAACAAGTATTATCGATAACGACATTTAAAAAAACATTTTTAAACGTTAAAATAAAAATGATAGTGATACGTATTACTTTTGATGAGTCATTAAGTAAAACCCATTACCCACCAAGGTGCAGTAAAATTAACCTGTACACTTTCAGATAGAAATTTAACCTCACTAATACACGTAAAATTTAAGATGATCCCTTTTAAACTTTAACATTAACATACATGTTGTAAGCTTCTAGGACTCTTGCAGCACACAGGGTCTGTTGTGTATGCAGGAAGTGCGGAAATGAATTTCAAGTTTTAGAACATCGCGACCACTTTCGAAGAAACCAAAACATTTGTAATTGATACTTTATGAGTAGCATTTAGGTATCGATATGCCTTGCCCTACTTTATAATGCCGTAATGCCCAGATACTACTTTACGTGGAGATTAAGAGAACCCTGGCTGATTGACTAGTTCTGCTTGTACAGCGTTTGATTAAGGCGTTGTTTGTGATGTTAGTTATTTACTTATATGAGTCGTTGGGCTGTGGCCAACATGTAGGAAGACAGTAAGTTTAATGCAGCGGTAATATTGTAAACTCACTTTACATTGGTTAATCAATCCATTTTCTAATCGGTTATTTAGGCAGGGACACATATTTGTATAAGGGTACATGATTCTCTGGAGGGGGTGGAGGGCGAATTTGGTAGCAATATTTGGGAAGGTCTGCCTAAAAACTGCCTGCCTCATTCCTGTATAGAATGATGTATATATAACTAATACAGTGTTTTATATGATTGTACATCCTTCCAATATACAAATACAGTAGGAGTTATACTCACCTACTACCAGTTATTGGCTCAGAGTACAAGTGTTCACCTCCTTTAACCCAATGAATCCTGCATATGTATCATCACGTAAGACCTTTGTGACTCTAAGCCAGCTGATCCTCTCATTTAGTTTCGCTGGTGTTACTCCACGCTGGCTCAGTGGGTAGCACTGCTGCTTAACATGTGTGCTTTGCATGTTCTCCACAGGCTTCCTCTGGGTTTTCCTCCCACAGACTAAATATATGCTGTTAAGCTTGAATTCTACAGGGTCATTATAAGAGTTAAACTGAACATTATTCAAATGAATATCCTTTCTTGAAGTGCTGATTAGTCATTCAAATGCATCTTCACAGTATAGCACAGTCACCTCAGAGTGATAGATATTTAATCATGGCATGTCTCTAATTTAAGGAGCATTCTGACCTTGATGTTTTCAACTATTATATATTTGCTCAATACAAAAACAAATTATCAAGTATAACAATATTTCTGTCGTTCTATTTTCCATGACTATCACTTGAGGACAGGGTCACAGCCACGCTGGAGCCTATTCCAGAGACCATCAGGCAGGGGACACTGTGGATGGGATGTGAATCTAATATTTACATTTTAAAATGGTGGAGAAAAATATACTCAAATGCACATTTCTAGGAAATCTGTAGAATGTCTGAGATCTTCTCCCTGTTCTCTTTAGCAGACTCCTAACAATACAACAATGGCAATAAGTGTTTAAGAGAAAGCTGTGGGCATGTACAGTCTGCCACAATGCTATGAGTTCATGGTATGAGGCAAGAGCCACAGCATGACTGCTGCATTACCTTATTCACTTAGCCGAGTACTTACGGTTACAGAAACTTTCCCAAAGACAGTGTGGAATTTTAGCTGCAATATAACCTATTAGCCTTTGGGGTATGAGTCAAGTTACCATTATAGTATAAGGAGCACTTCTTACACTAAAGAAATATAAGGCTTAAGAACAAAGGTGTGGCAACTCAAAAATGTAGATGTTCACATTCAGGAAAAACCATCTCAGTGTGGAGCAGAGACCCTGGAGGAGCATTTAAACTAGCCAATGGTTCCAAGTGAGGACACCTCAAAGGATTAAAAAAAAAACACAGAACAACCCATCCCTTATTTCCTTAGCCATTATGGCATTTCGATATGGACATGATGGCAGAACTGGGTCCCCTAAAGTCAGCAGCTGTCCTTGCTGAAATCTACACATAAAACCTAATGCTGGGGCAGAATCGTCACGTCTGTGGGCCTTTGAGCAAGGCCCTTAACCCCCAGGTCCGTAGGTGCTGTCGCTGGGGGCTGCCCTTCACTACCAAGCTTGTTCTCACCTAAATATGTGTCTATGTGTCATGGAGAGCAAGATGTGGGAAGCAAAAAGAGAATATCCCCATAGGGATCAGTAAAGTGTCATTATTATTATTATTATTAGGTAACAATTCCTGATTCTGATTGGCCAGAGGCTTCACAGCTGGATCACAGGCAAAGGAAGGCTGCAAAATCAGCAGTGCTCAGCCTTTGAGGACTGTGATTTGAATAGCCGTCTTATAAGCTATACTCACAAATGGAGATCCATCTTTTTCTGTGTCCACCCCAACCTCAGTCTTGAAATTTCTACACACAAACAGGTGTGCTTTAGTGCTATCCTTTTTAATGGCAGTTCAGCTGATGTTGATGATGACTATTGTTTGATTGTTTGACAGTTTATGCAATAATTAATGTTATTGGTCTGTTTTGAAGCATCTCAAACAAGCCATGGAATAGAAGCTTGCAGAGGCTATTTCAGTGAGCTCACAATCCAGCATAATTAGCTGTTTGCTGGAGCAGCGTAACTCACATAGAGTGATCATGCATGTGATAAAATCGACCTTTGAACTCTGAATGTAGGCCCCAGTCAAAGGCAAGCTTTGCTTTCCAAACAAAATTAAAAATAGGATTCATTGGGGCAAATCATTCACTATACTTTATATTATCTTTCTTAAGAATGTACAAAGTAGAAATTGAATGAGCTTCTGGAATTGTTTGTAAATGTATATTTTAATTATGTATAATCACTTTTTTCCAAATTTTGTGAGTAACTATCAGTGTTACAAATAAATTATTTGGGAAAATTAGTTCTAGAATAAACCTTCCAGTGCTACTTGGACACGTCTTCAGTGATGGACCCAGAGTCAAGGGTGTTTCAGGTCTTTAATCATCAGATACCCTCTCCTGGGCGATCTTGCTGGGGGTGATCAGCCTCCGACTTGTGTCCAAGTGGCGCACTAACCCACGGATACACCGTCTGTGTCAACAACAACCACAAGGCCTTTTTAGCAGCCTCCAAAATGGTCTTTAGGGCCCTTCTGTGAACCACTGTAGTTATTTAATTCTAAAATGAACATAACACTGAAGTTATCACTGGAAGTTATTGGAAAAAATATACTAAAGCACTTACTGGCATTATTGTGAAAATCATGGTGGTAAGAAATACACCTTGTGGTTTTTATATTTGGGGCCAAGCGGATTGGTGGACAACTACTTCTAGATACAACCAGTAGGGAAGAGAGAAAAGTCCATGGAAGACAGACCCCCAAAATCTTCAGGATAGATGTCAACACTGCCACCTTCAGGAGATGTGAGCTTTCTGCAGAACTGCTCCTGCTTCCCTCAGAGGATCTCAGAGAACTTTCCCATCCTGGCCCCAAGTATGTGGACAACAACATTTAAACCTTCAACTCAGATATCAAGAGGGAGACTGTTTTTATTATTTCTGCTTGCTTTGCCTCTTACTATTTTGACCCCCTATGTCCATGCTCTAGTATCTACATTAGAACCTCTTGAAGATACAGCTTCCTAGAAGACAGTCATCTAATTATATCTGCTGTCCTTTAAAGGTAAAATAAATATGATGTGGACCCACTTTCTTGGAGCAGGATTAGCAAATTAGATAATCCACATGCAATTTTTCTTTTTCACAAGGCAGAGACAACTCAATACACTCAATTCACTAAAATCACGTACTAAAATAAACATACCAAATGGGGAAATTATGGTTAGGAGGACTGCGACTCCAAAGCTTAGTTACTTACGGCAAACAAAACTAATTAAATATTAAAAACAGTGATACCAGTGGCCAATAATGTAATTATATGCATTTTAAATAAGAAATAATAATAATACATTTTTTAAATTATATCATAAACACAGGGTTGCCAACCATTATGAATTTGCGTTGTATTGAACTTGGGTACTATCAACCATGTTAGAACAGATTCACGGTGTGAATGTTTGGGAATGGCTTAAGACCAGAGGTTCATACATGAGTAGTAGGTTCATACACATAACAACATTTTTAAAATAAGAAAAAATAAAACAGAGGGTCGATTGGTGGAAACATAATTAGGTGTCTGTACTGAGTTGCAGCACCACAATTAACATTTGTGGTTGTATGAGCAGCAACAGCATCTATCCTTCATACAGGATGTGTAGCATTTCTAACAGTCAGCATCTTTCCTTCATAAAGGATGTGTAGCATTTCTAACAGTCAGCATCTTTCCTTCATAAAGGATGTGTAGCATGTCTAACAGTCAGCATCTTTCCTTCATAAAGGATGTGTAGCAGGTCTTAGTCAGCATCTTTCCTTCATAAAGGATGTGTAGCATTTCTGTCAGTCAGCATCTTTCCTTCATAATGGTCATGAGTTTTTCCTGTCAGTTGAAACCATTTTGGTTTTTATACAGTAAATAGGGCAGCACCTCTCACTACCTAGTCAGTTGATTAATAATCACAGCCTTTATTGATGTCCTAGTTCTACCGACTATTCTTTTTTCCTTTACTCACAATTTGTTTACATATTAACTGTGGAAATGGTGATTCAGACATTTTGTTCTGGAGACAAGGTACACAATCATTACGATGTGGGATATTTAAAAAGGGGACGTCTTCGTGTATATTTTGATTTACAAACTTCCAAACAGTTGGCTGTGCACACAGGACTTCTATAAAACAGGAGGCTATATGAAAAAGGCATTAAAATAACTGTGTATAAATGCATGTCGCATAAGGATATCATGACCATTTAAACGCGGTGAGGAATTTGTAAACCTTACAAACCTAAAAATATATTATAAATATACAGGAAACCAACGTAATTATTGACCTTGACAACTCACTGGCCTGACATATACTGTTTTCATGACAACTCACTCACTCAAATGATGCCTTGTGGGGACGTGGTTGAAGGTCATGCCAATACTACACGAATTTGTGGTCTGGAAGTAAAGAACATAGTATATGTAGGCTATATTTAAGTCCCAGTGACCTGACCAGGATAAGTGGTTAGAAGATTAATGGACGTAGGCCTATACCTAAGATGTAAATAAATGAGACAGGAATTATTTATGAAGAGAATCAGATCATCATTTTGTAAACTGCAAAATAAAAATATTTTAAAAAGGGCCGTAGGGGCGACTGTTGAAGATGCAATGGTATTAAAGCAGTAAACGGTAACGAGCATTTCAGGAGTGATTCCCTACTCACGAGTGCGCTTGGCGAGCATTAAGACCTGGACCTAGGGGGACTACATTAAATATAGGGCAGTTCAGTGCCCTGAAAAGTCATATCTTACACTCCTTTAACGGTAGTTCATACATATGGAGTAATAAAAGGCACCTGAATATTTTGACTCGTTTGCAGTTTAGTTTAGAGCCCTAAACGAGGGTGTAATTGCATGCAAAGCTTTGCGCGTGGTTTCATTCAAGCTGTCGCTTCACGCGCTCTCACAGTCGCGTGACGGGCCGTCACTTCGACGAAGGTAACCGGAGGTAACGTTTAAAGTGCTGTAAAAGTCCGTAATACGCTGTAGCGATACAGTTATATATTTACACTTTATCGTCTTAGTGTTTTACATTAGTGATTATATGCTTGTACTCAAGTTAAACTTTCGATAAATGCCGACGTGTCGATTCTCCACCCGTGTGCCTGTCTGTCAAACACATATACGATGAAAAACACTAATGTGGCTAACTGTGTCAATACATTCAACCATTACCTTGCCAACACTACAATATGTATTATGTATTTATATAAATAACGTTTTACATATCGAACTATCCTTAAACGGTTACCTTACGGCTTACGTGGTAAGATTTGTCCCAAGGACGGAAAGCTTTCTAACTTAACAGAACCGAAAAGGTACGATTAAATGACTTGTTAGTTGGGTCCAAACAACGTGTAATCGCTTTTATTTGACGTTATACCCCACTTGCCAAGTTTTAAAACTTCCACTAGATGGCGTAGTTGCAACAAAAACACCAAATGATTACCTTCAGAAAGCGTTCCAGACGTGTGCGGCTCCTTTCATTTCGCAAGGATGACACCCTGAAACACGTTTGTTGGAAAGCGCGTTAAACTGTAGCCTCAGGTTTAACAGCATTGCATGTGTTGTATCTTTGTGATTAGTTACTATTTTGATGAGAAGTGTCCCAGAGAGAGAATGGAAAATCATTTGAGCGAGAGACTCATTGCAGGTAAAGCCACAGTCAGATGCTTTGTATGAGACACATCGGAAGGTTTAATATTTCAAAATGTTGTATTCGTTGTCTCATTGTTTCACCCCACATAGGTTGTCTGCCAGTGCCATTGTTTAATCAAAAGAAAAGAAATAGATTACCTCTGACATCAAACCCTGCCAAAAATGAATTAGTTTTTGGTAGTGAATTTCCATATAGTCGGAGCCTTGCTTTACCATCTTTGTCATCAGGTATGATTTTTTTTTAACAGTAACGTCTTGCATATTTTTGCATCAGTTCTATTATTGTTTTGTATTTTTCTTTTTATGCAAAAATAAAATTAACACATAGGTAACAGTGAGTTCAGGACAGTTCCAATACTGAGATATTTGGGTCTTTTAGATTTAGGAAATGCTGGATATTCAGGAGTTCACATACCAGGCTCAACCATACCCGCTGTACAGAAGAGTCATTGGATCAGACAAGAATTTCCAAAGAAGAGACCCCCTGAAATCCCTCCAGTAAGAGGTCTGGCACCAATTCCACATCCAGGTTGGCCTGTAGGTATGGGGTAAGTTCACAGTTTATCTTGGTGAGTTACTGACAAATGTTAAATAAAGTCAAACATACATTTTTTAAACAACTTTTATGGAAAATTATAGCTTCATCTAGATGCAAAAACACTATATGATTTCCTCCTGAAGCTCATATTTAAAGAATTTGGCCACCTTCAATGGTTGCTGTTTCAAACAGGTAGAAGGCTGGAAACTGCATCACATTAATCTCTCCACTGTAATAATTAATAAAATGTATTTTTATTATAGTAGTCACAATAGTCCACTGTGATCAGGTTACATTGTTTTTACTTTGGACCTGACCTGACCTTGGTGCACTAGAATAAAGAGGTAACCATGTTTATTGGAGATAGAATGTAAAATAAAAACCGAGCTATAACAAAACTTTTAAAAACAAAACTCCAAAAACTTCTGGTTAGGTGAATTGGTGTCTCTAAATTGAATTTAGTGATTTTGAGTGTGTGAGAGTGTGTCCCGTGATGGGCTGGCATCTTGTTCAGGGTGTCCACTATCTTGTGCCCTTAGCATTGTGGAACAGGCTTGACAAGTAATACATCTTGTTCAGGGTGTCCACTAACTTGTGCCCTTAGCATTGTGGAACAGGCTTGACAAGTAATACAGAAGGTGAAAAGATGGTGTGAAATAACTGAATCAGCTGATGTCATATTTCATATTTCAGGTCACAAGGCGGAAAACAGATCTTGGCTCCATGGCAGGACTGCAGTGGACCATCAAGCACTAAACTTACTAGTTTTCCCAACAGTGGATCAATTGAGAGCAGATGGAAGTTTTCACACTCGTGTTTGCAGACAGATCAGCAGTCGAACAAACTCTTAAATCTTCCAGTGAGCCCTTGTTCACAAATCCCAGGAACACACACAGCTACACTTAGCAGTCAGCAACAGAACTCGGAATGGAGGCCGACATCCACCCTTCAGTCCAGCCAAGTTAAAGGGGAACACACAAATATACTCCCCAATAAGATCACTCCCTGGCCTCAGGTACTGTAATGTGGGAATGCTCGTTAATCAATTTGTTGCACAGATATCTAAGAATATTTCGGGTTTGCAGCTCAGACTTGTGCTACCTGTCCATAAACTTGGTTTTCCTGGGGGTGGAGCAGTGTGGTTAAGTCACCAGGCACCTCAAAGGCACCTCCTTTCCTGTAAGAATGAGAGATGTTCAACGTTTCAAATGGACATTTGATCCCCTGTACAATATGTCACAATATTGTGTAGCTTTTAAAAGTACACCCTCTGGCACAGTGGTTACTGCACATACACTGTGAGGCTCTGTGGAAGCCGAGTAAGTGAGGGTGGTGTTTTGAACAGTTCAGCCTGATGCAGAATTGGGAAAGACTGCCGTGGTATGAAAATTGTGAAAGAACATCAAAGAGAACGACTGAAAATATTTAATCATAAATTACATCTAATTGCCAGGTACAAAAGCAAATTACTGTGCTATTTCCTAATTGTGTCACATTCTGAGATTATCACATAAGAATGATAAAAGTTGTATCATAGATACTTACCACAGTTCTAAATATATAATTTCTTCTTGTTATTTTGGAAGTCAGTGTTTGTTTCATTATTCTCTAAAGAAGCCAGCACAGTCTCAGATGAAACCAGCGACGGACAATTCCCTGCGGATTCTGACAGCGGTCATTGAGGGAATGAAACACTGGAGCCAATTCAAAGATCGAGCACCCTTCTTATTCGAGGTCTTTGGTGGGTCTCCTTGTCGTCAGCCTGACTGTATTCACCAATCACTGGTTTCCAGATGTGCATTATATGAGGCAGTGTGCTCATTTTAGTTTTTGTGCCTTTCAATGTGTTACACTTTTTTTCCCAGGCACTCTCGACTCAGCTGTCACAATTGGTAATCATGGTGCAAAAACCTTCCTCCTGAGAGATGGACAGTATGCCGTGCAGTGTGTTTTTTATGAAACCGTAAGTTGTGTAACCATCCTCCTTGAAATAAAATGCCTCCAAGCTAAATAATTCAAGAGTCTAGGCTAAAAATATGTAACAGGATGAGACCAGCAAAATCTTGGTGTTAAGGAGAAAAGGTCAGTTATACACACACACCCAAACCCAAATTGCATAACATTAAACTTTGGCCCATTGTTTTGCCCATGAGTGTGTGTTTTGTGCGTGTGTGGGTTATGTATATCAGTGTTTTTCAAACCAGTCCATGTTTTCAGCTCTCCCCCAATTTGCTGGGAGTTCAGGTGAAGCAATAACGTGGACCGTCTGGGGGGGTCAACGAGGACTGGTTTGAGAAACTCTGATGAATTTTTTACACTATGGGGACTAAATAGAAAATGTGATTTTGATGCTGTGCGGACCATTTTTTTGGTCCCCACAAGGGGAAACTCCGTTTTATAAAATTCAATGATTGTGTTCAAAAATCTAAAAATGTCAAATATTTTGAGTCATATTAGGTTAATTGCAAATTAGCAGCACATGTCAACTTTGAAAATGGTATGGCAGAGCACCATGAAGCAACAAACAGAGTTCCAAAGAAGCAGTGTCCAAATTGTAGGTGCATCACAAAAGCTGCAAAATTTATGTGTCAAGGGAAACAGGTTTAAAAACTGTCAAAGCTCACCACAGGAACTGACGCTAAGTGTGATTGTTGCAAAACACCTGAAACGTACAGTATCAGAAATGACCACATCTCTGTAACCCAGTTTCAACAAAATTGTAGGTTGTGATCTTCACAAAGCTTGAATTTGTGGCACAGCTGCTTCTATCCAAGACTAATGCACAAAGGCACAAATATGACCTGGGTAAGGAGCACAAAAACCTGGACCCCTGACCAATGGAAAAGTAAAATGGTCCAATGAGTCATGTTTCACCTTTTTTTCATACACATGGATTGATTTGTATTTGGAGAAAGTCAAAGGAACCCTTCAACCTGCAACATGGGGGATCTGTAATTATACAGGCATCTCATGGGAGGCATTACGGCTAGTGTTTACTCTTTATGATCATATACCAGCCATGAAAATTAGGACATTTTCCTGATCGCAAGGCATATTTATATTACACTTATGGATTTAAGCAAGAATTTTGTTTAAATACTAAAATGCATATATACTGTAGGAATCTAGTAGCTGCCTGACAAATTCCAGACTGCACCCTCTGTATCTGTCTCTGCTTTGTTCTGCTGACTAGGACCAGGATCTTCCACGACTCATCAGAGGCCAGGTCCACCGCTGCATGGGGAATTATGATAGAGGGAGGGAGCTGCTCACATGCATGTGCGTCAGGCATGCCTCATCCTCAGAGCAGAGGAACGCTCAGGAGGCCGTCAAGGCGTCAGACGCACAGATGAGGAGGCTGCTCAGGTCGTTCAGTGAAGTCTGACTGAAAGGACAAAACGTGGCCTTGCTGGCAGTGAAATACGAGCTAATGTGATTCAGGTTTGATTTCACTAACCACTGTGAACCTACTGGTGGTGCATCGCGAAGGTCTAAATGAACTGTATCGTTAAAAATATTTATTGTACTCAATTTATCTCTGGTGTTTTATCCAAATTTTTTCCTTCATTGGTTTGTGGAAAGAAATGATTTAAGGTTATTTGTGGGTTGTTTTTTGTAGGGTAGCTGTACCTTAAATTCTTTAACTAAATTAGTAAATGATTAAAGTTAGTTTGTGTTTATTGTAAGAATTATTTTATGAATGATATAATACGACCAAAAATATATTCACTTTCATGTGTTATTGTGAAAATAATCACATGCTGATTTCAACACAATGCATTCTGTGTTTATGAAACATTTTATTACAAACAAATCCACAATACAGCTAACACTGAGTCTATTTTAAGGTAAAACACCAAAATTGATGAGGTAATATTTCAAAATATATTTTTGAAAGGATGCTTTATAATCAGAAGTGAGCTTGCACAATTAGTTTATTTACAACCAAAAGTTACGTTCAAACTTGACTTCTAACCTAAAAAACAGTTTCACCAGTGTTATGACTCACTATGTTCAACATATTTTCAAAAATCCTTTGTAACAATCCCAAATGTTATCGATACCAAAGCAATCTCAAAGCACCGCCTCCGCAAATAAAGCGCGTTCTTGTTTTTCAATCTGTGTAATTACATTGTATTTGCAATTTGGAAGGAAAATATCCTTTCATATACGTACATGGATTTAAATTTAACTGTAGAAGGAGATAATGCCCAAAGCCACATTTATACATTAATACATATGTACTGGGGCAGTGTATAGCTTAGTGGGTAAGGTTTCTGCTCCAGTGTCTGGGCGGTTATGCCTTGACCCTGCTGTCTGACTGCCAGGCTTCAATTGTATGTCAATTTGAGCAAAAGTTATTAAAAAAATAAGTAAATGATTGGATAAAGTTGAATTGGCTTTAAGAAAGAAAAAAAAACATTATGATCCATGATTATATATAAACTTGCACAGGATTACTGAAGGCCTTTCTGTGGGACAGGGTAATTTGCCTTGCCATTACCTTTCCTAAAGTTATAATTGTTTTTGCCATGCTTAAGACGTTACAGGGTAACTGAGAACTGCAGGTCAAGTACAATTAGTACTTTTATAGCCGTGCCATGCAAATTTAGAATTAGATATGTATGAATTTAAATGCAATAGTAGTCTCTCACGACCTTTTAATTTGATTATTAAAGTTATTTACTCTATGTGGATAAATGGCAAATGTAGTAGGACATAATTCAACAGGTACGACTCCCCGCTGGCTTTAAACCGTGAAAAACAAATCCTGGCTCACAATTTTCATAACATTCATCTCTGCTGAAACAAGCTCTTTCCTTATTGATCAATAAGTATTTACAAAAGTGTGGCACACAAAAAAGGACTACATAAATGTGTCATTTTCAGAACAGTACAGTTTTAGCAGAAATGGGCACTAACCTGATTTCAGTACTGAAATAATTTTAGTTACATAATGAAGGCACAAGCTGGTTACGTTAGAGCCAGTTTTCAGACAAGTGACTGATTCATGTTAACTAACCCCAACCAATTTTGCATTTTATTCAATGTATTTTTTTTTATTCAATCCTAACCTGATGTATTTCAGTCCTGAATTATCGTGAGGGTTTAAGTTTTTTGTTGTAAAATAAGAAGATTGTTGTTTTGGATTTACAAAACATTCACATAAATCATTTGGAATAGGACCAAGAGATGGCATCCCATTTAATGCCCATGTCATACATCAGTATTTAATGCTTTTACACAGTTATGCAGTCATTCTATATTACATTTTTGTTAACATGACATTAATTTTTACAAACAAATATTTCTAGACAAAACTGAGGCCAGCCAAAACACAAACACGTTTCATCCTCAATGATGTGTAAGTCTGCAGTCATTTTTTTTTCAAATAAATCACTGACATTGCCTCAACCACAAGACATTTTAAACGTACATAGAATTAGAAGAAAATTGATTTCCCGGTATTGCCTGTCTGCGTAACACCTTCAATCACTTCCTCTCCAAATCCAGCTGTTTACAATGCTAACCCTCACATGTAACATCAAACTAGATCACTCTACCACAGACACAGGTAAACATGCCCTCAGTATGATCAGACTCCATATGCCAGTGTAAATAGCGGGGGTAACTTGCTTCTTTTGTTTTCAAATGCAAAACCTCAGTTGTCCACAGAAGTATTGGCACTGATTGGAAAACTATTATTGAACTGCATCCAGCTTTTTTAATTATAAATTGTCCCTGAAGAACTCCTTGTCCTTAGATCAGCTTTCATCTTTTTCCTTCCATCTTTCTTGCAAAAATTCCCCGACAGTAGAAGTCATTTTGGAATGTTATGTTCACCTTTTCTTCTGTCTTACTGGCATGTCTGCTGTTGCTGTGGTTATATGCGTCTTCTTGTATGCACATAATCATCAGTGTTCTGTACAGGGTGTCACTTTATGTCAGGCAAAAGTTTTCAGCTCTACTGACATTTGTCTAAACAAAAACAATTAAAACAAGAACAGGAAATCACCACTGATGGTGGAATGCTTTGTGTAAAACACATGTAACCAGTCTTATTCTGAAAAGTAAATAATGCTAAAGTAGTTTATTGTATGAGGGAAGACAGACATGTACTTTGGGTATGTTACAAGCTTGTGTCTTATTCAAAACAGTCCCCCCCAGGGGAAGGTGTACAGCACTTTGCTTTGGGAGTTGTAAAAAGGTGCGCATGTGTGTACTGGGGTAATTATAAAATGGTGGGCACTGGGGTGGGAGACGCGTGCTCCTTGGGTGCATATTTTGCGAAGAATGGCAGGAAGAGCGTGAGCATGACGCCCACGATAGCCAGCATGTAACCCCAACCGATCTGACACTCTCCTGCATAGTAGATCTCTGAATCCCCACAGGATGATTTCACAAGGGCGGAGTTAAGTCCGAAAGGGTACACCAGAAGTCCAGAAGCCATGATGAAAACTGCAAGGGAGACAGGCAAACAGACAGTTCAGTAATTATTACAGTATGGAAAGAAAGCATGTTTCACCTGACGTGTCCATGTGGTGGCAGTAGAACCTCTGCATAGTATGAAAGAAAGAGTACCAATTAAAATCTTGGTTTAATCAAGTTTTGGAATAAATATGGTTCACTAAGAAATTTCCAGTCCAGAGATGAGCCAAACAACACTAGCGATCATTAAAAAGGTTTTTACAAATTATTTGAATAGCTGTTTTTAAATGTCAGATTTTTCATGGTCAGGCACACAAACAAACCAATCCCAGTTCTGGCTTCAGTCAATTGAGTTTTACTGCAATGGACCATTCAGCTGAAAATTCAGTTGAAATCTGCAGCCTCAAACATATGGGAACTGAAGTGAGGTTAATGCTGTCGGTAAACAATGGACCGATAATTAAGCCTGTAGCATCAACAAAAGGCATGATTGACTTAAATGACTATTTGCTAAGACAAAGAAATGTCAGACAAACTAACAGAACAACTGGATGAACTAAAATGCAGATAAAAACGTCTTTGCTTCAGCTAGTTAATTTGTTGACACAAACTGAGTGACTTGACAGCGCTGCTTGGAGTGTATGGGCAAGGACAGCATTGTGGGAGACAGCTAATATGTTCTAATGTCACCTAATTACAAACAGATTTCTGGGGTAATGAACACACACACCCACACACACACACCCACACACACACAGCCCTAATCGTATCCTTAAGTAACCAAACAAAATATAAGACTTTTGGCATTTGTAATTTTTTTGATTGCACAGATTTTTTTATAAAATTCAGGTTTATATTGTGCCTGAAAAATGTCCTCACAAGCTTAAAAGTAACAGGATTTACTACAATGTGGTAACTACAAATCCACACACACACACAGTCACACACACAGACACACACACATCCCATCTAACATCCAACCAACATCAGCGAAAGTCTTTATAAGAAATAGTGTCTAGTTATCAGCAGGAGTCCAGCTTTCCCACCTAATGGCCTCGGTTCAACTATCATTCGCTTTGCAGAAGTTTCACAGATACACGATCAGACCTCCTCCAGTGATTTCCATCCTTTGGCACTTGTTTGTGCCGAAAACCTAAAAGGCGGTTAAGAGAATTGGAGGAGGTCAGGGCCACACATAGCAGTGGAATACATGGTACCGTGTGTATTGAAAATGTCACAAGAGAACAAGATGTGGCTGACAAAGGGCGTTTGATTGTGGCACAATTGCTCGTCTGCATCAGATAAGTGTGAACCGTGATATAATCTCCAAGACTGCATAACTTGGCTAATGGGAGCCAGCTATCGGGGACAGATCCATGGCCTCTCTTACGCTCGCACAAGGGATGAGGGAACGAAGGATTCCACATGGACTTGCTTGATACTGCATGTGATAGGAGCTCCTGAACCCTCTGCTTATGGGGGCATCCTTAGTCACCGCCCTGTGTTGTCGTAGGATGTGACACAAAGATTTACACGTCCATCGAGCCAGTTATTTACTAAAGCCTGTGCTAATGTTATTCTACTGCCAAGCACCATGAAGTTTTGATATATTGCTGCCGCTGAATATACTTACTGTATGTGTTTTTTGGGTTGTGGGTATATTCCACAGAATATACGGAGCTGACCAAGCTTTGGCACTACAGAACACATCATCTGTCCAATTAAAAGACGAAGGCCAGAGCTACGACTAGGTACAATTGTCACATTTCCTGTAAAGCATGGCGGGAGATTGATGCATATTTCTGATGTCAAGAACCTGCCAGATGATGAAATCCAGGGCCTGTTCCTCCATGATATTTCACAAGTGAGAAGCTGGACAATTGTGAGATACGAAAAGTAAATCTCGGATGGACCAGAGAACTGTGAATGAGAGATATTGGATGACAACACAGGGAGAGACACTAAGTGACTGCTGATAGTTTGCTGATTGATTTGTACTTTTAAAATCTCAATCTCATGCTTTGACATAATAATTTCAGAGAAACACAAGGATACTGAATTACAAATGCACATTGTTCTCTTGGCAAGACTATGACAGCGCCATTGATGGTAATCATGCCACATATGAATGTCATGCATGTCAGAATGTAGCACAGATCTAGCAAAGCAGTGTGGATGTAAGTCCTCCTGATTCGGTCTCACCCCCATGTTCACATGTTATGTTACTTTGAGCAGTTACTCTTTACATCACACTGTTGCACTGGTAGTATTGTGGCCCATGACTCTAGTGAGAAATAATGAGATGAAATGCTTTCAACATCCAGGAAAAATCTTAGAACACTGCATTCTGCCTTCTGAGATGATTAATACCATTGGTTTGTCAACAATGCAATATGCAGCATAATCAAAATAACAAAAATCGTCCCTGAACTTGGATGGCTTACATTCTTTTTATTATTGATCGACCGTGGCTGTTGCACCAATGTTTCGGCACTAGACCATCATCAGAGGACCCGGTATTTGTTATTATGAATTACTTTCAAGCAATGTGATAAAGTTTTAAATACTTCACCCATGTGATTGGCCAGTGAGAAGCAAAAAACAAACATGAGGGAAAAGTCAGGGGGGGGGGCACTTTGCATGGTAAGCCATGGTTGTGTAGCCTGGTTTCCTTCTGAAACCAGCCCTGCAAGTAGCCAGAGGTCTCCTTCAAGATGGGGGGGGGGTGGCACCCCTGAAATAGCATCCTCAGTGCTCCGCCTGACGGGCCGTCATTAGGAAGGAGACCCATGCAGAGCTCCATCACTGTGTCCAAGATACAGTCTCATACGTAATGGGCAGAGTTAGTGGTGTACAACTGCAGTAAAAATGCAATTAAGGGGTGTTAGAAGTGCTATGCCTAGAAAAATCCGTCAGTCCTGTCTCATCAATTAAGACGTCGAAAGACGTCCGATAGCCCTACAATATATAGGGCATATAAACCCATAATGCTCTCCAGAACGTTTGGAACACTACGACCAACAATGATTACAACCAAAAGGATTGCTAGAAATCATAGGATGTAATTTAATCAGCAAGCCACTTAAATCATCTATGCAAGTAACTAGTTCCTTGAGCCACTTAAGGTAGCTGTAAATTCAATTCGGCTTAGCGACTAACTAAAACAGCATTTGGCAGCATATGTTATATATGTATGAACAGGTAGTAACCAATTCTGTTCATAACATTTATGAACATATTTTCTAGCCATAGCCAAGGGGTGGAGGGGGTTAGGTTCGGGGGCCTCAGGATTGTGTCTTTGCTTTTTGCAAATGATGTGGTCCTGTTGGCATTGGGCTGTGACCTGCAGCATGCACTGGAGCAGTTTGCAGCTGAGTGTGAGGCAGCTGGGATGAGGATCAGCATTTCCAAGTCTGAGGCCATGGCTCTCGACTGAAAAAGGGTAGATTGCCCTCTCCTGGTGGTGGATGAGTTGCTGCCTCAAGTGGAGGAGTTTAAGCTTCTCTGGGTCTTGTTCACGAGTGAGGGAAGAACACTGTACCGTTCTGTTGTGGTGAAGAGAGAGCTGAGGCAAAGCTTTTAATTTACTGGTTGACCTACGTTCCCACCCTCACCTATGGTCATGAGCTATGGGTAGTGACCAAAAGAATGAGATTGCGGATACAAGTGGCAGAAATGACTTTCTTCTGTAGGGTGTCTGGGCTCAGCCTTGGGTGAGGAACTCAGACATTCGGGAGGGGCTCAGAGTAGAGCCGCTGCTCCTCCGCATCGAAAGGAGCCAGCTGAGGTAGTTCAGGCATCTGTCTTGGGTGCCTCCTGGGTGGCTACCTGAGGAGGTGTTTTGGGCAGGAAGAGGCCCCAGGGAAGACCTAATACACACTGGAGAGATTATATCTCTTGGTTGGCCTGGGAACGCCTTGGTATCCCCCCAGTGGAGCTGGAGGAGGTGGCAGGTGGTCTGAGCCTCCCTGCTTAGACTGCTGCCCCTGCAACCCGGCTCCTTATAAGTGGCAGATAATGGATGGATCAATGGATGTACAGGCTTTAATTTCAAGGGCTGTCGTTTTAGACTGATCATCCTTTTCTATAATGTGTATACCTCCAGTGACATGAAAACACTGTAATTATTCTAGAATTATTAGAATTATTCTGTCTTGGTTTTTTTTTTATTTCAGAAATGGACCCAATATGCCACTTAACATGCATGGTGGATCAAAAATATAACTGACCAAAACATTACCCTTGAGGCGTATCAGAAATGATTCATATTCAGACAATGGCCTTTTTCTCTTATAAGGCTTAATTGAATATCAAACTAGGACGTGTGACGGAAGCTTGTGTTGTCTTTGGCTGGCATTCCAGTAAAGGGCCATCTGGCCGAGGCTGGGGACCTGCCATCCAGACATCGTCTGTGGGGAGGAAGCGCTGGAGATGTAAAGGCGAGGGGCTGGTTTGAACAGCTGCCAGAAGAACGTTCTAGTTCCTGCGGTTGGATTTTGATTTTGCAACCAGCAGTCAAACTGTTTTTTAATGGTTAACTAAATCAGACATGGAGTTGCTGGAACGGTACCTCCCAACAGTTGAGGTAGAAGATCAATAAGACCTTAAAGTAAATAACTATTAAAAACAGAAAGACATAAATAAGTCCAGTCCTAGTCATTAGTCTTCTAGGACCTACATCAGGCAGGAATTCTAAAATCGGCAAACCTGAGGAACCCGCATATGTGACACTTCCCTCGAATTATGGGTCAGGCCTCATTTCACCCTTGACAGGATGTTACAACACACAGCTTAAATTAAAGGTCCGTTGTCAGACCAAAGTTTCCCAGAGTACAAGTGCATTCTTTGGGGAGAGTGGAGCTGGTGCGCTAGAGACTGCATACCATTACCTGATGTCTCTTGGTAAACGTGGGTGTCCGATCGCATATGAAATGGAGCCCTGAGGCAAGTGGGAAGCCCAAGGCAGGTAACTCTTTGAGACAAACTTCACCTTCTGACATTCGGTTCAGACTGAGGTAGGTATCCTCCCA